TGCGTCTTATAGGCTGCACAGAAAGCCAGTCTCAAGTTCCTTGCATGATCAAAACGTGCTGCCTGTTTTTACAGGAAAGCTACATACAGAACATGACATAATTATGCATTCATTTTCTTGAAACAGCTATCAAAATTTGCATTATTAGAAGAAATAATCTACTATCTGAGATCAGGATTCTGCCACCCTGCTACCACCACTTATTTTAGGGACAAAAATTTTTCTGAAACTGAGCTTCAAAACATTGTGTGTCTGTATACAAATATATGTAGGCAAGAGGACAAGTAAAGTAACAAAATTACCAACAAATTTAAGACCAGCCTGCTGGATTCCTGTCACTGCCTCTGGCTGCAGAACTGAGGGATGGGCTGTCCCTTCTGCTCCGAGTATGTTCAAGGGGCAAAGCTCAAAGTGCCACACCAACAAAACCTCAAACAGACTTAAACAATAAATACTATACTGTGGATCTAGCTCTTGTAAACAACATCTAAGCACCCAAACTCCGTTCCTCTACAAAAGCACAGGCTTTTATTTCTTCCAGAGCCTAAATGATCATCTGCTTTTTTAAGCTTACAGCTTGCATTAAGAACAGAATCCACATGCTAGTGTTACTTTGAGAAAGGAAGGCACCACTTCAACTCTCTGTCCAGTCACTGAACTAGAGGAGCATCTACAAATGTACTGGAACCAGCTTACTGTGGAAATAGAGATGATAGTTTTGTTACTTTGGTGAAAGATTTGATGTAGAAATAGCACTTTTAGAAATAAATATAGGGATAATTTAGAAGCTAATTTTATGGCAAAACAAGTCTGAAATTCAGTTCTTCCACATTTCAGTAAGGATTTAGAAAAATGTGGAATAAAGTGCACAGTTACCATTTTGGATATGGAAAGTTTTGCTCAGCAAATAATCACCAAGTGCCAACAGCAGGAGCTGCAAAACCCCCTTGAGCATCCAACAGCTATGTATGTTTTCCACAGCTTCAAAGAATGCAAATGTCTCTTTTCACAGATTCAGGCACTTGGGTGGCTTTAAGCGTCCATCTGATTTAAAGAGACACAATACAATAAAAAAGCCAACTTTCTCTAAGCCTCATTCAAAGAACCATCTACTGGTTCAAAACCTACCCCAATTTTTATGCAAAATAAGGGCAATGAGTAATTCCCAGAAGCTGCTCAGTGCTTTTCAGATATATGCAGAGCCCTGATACATTAGGCTTCGAAATGCCTGTAAAAATTCAGTTTGTCATGGCTCTGCTTTTCTTTCATAAAGGAAAATACAAGAAAGTTTATGTAATCATATAACTGAGCAAACAAAAGCTGTCTAGTTGAATTTATACTATAAATTAAACAGAGATATATCATCTTTCTATATATTTTTTTTCCATGTAACTAACATGTCGGGTGGTTTACATTTTTCAAATGCTACACTGAACTTACATACAGAAATTTCACATTCTGATAACTATTTTAAGTGTATCCAGTATATGTTTCAAAAAATAAATGCTTATTTTTCTTACCTAGTCCTTTTTCTCTTCTGTCAACATTTTCACCAATATGTTGCTGCTGTGTTTTTGAAATAACCTTTGTGTTTTCCACTAAGCAAAGTAGATCCTCTGTCAAAAGGGAAGGTTCCTTGGAAGTGGAAGTCCAAGTAGCTTGACCTCTCATTTGATTTACTCCTGAACAAGAACTGGGGTCCAAAACATTTAAGTATACTGGAGTTTTCTCAGCTTTTTTATCTGAGGTTGAAAGATCAAAGGATGACCTTCCACTTATGTTTACTAAATTTCCAGATGTTCTCATGGGTAAAACGCATGATTCTTTCAGGTGACCCTCAGCAAACTTCCTTCCTGGAACTGTACTATTCAGTGAGTCTTTTTTCTCTTCTAACAACGTGTTATTTGAGGAATTATTAACCTCTAGGGAATGTCCAGTTTTGATTGAGTGTATCTGAATATCATAATTAACTTTTTTACATGGAATTAGTTCATCTGTACCAATTCTGTCTGTTTGGGATTTTTTTTCACTAATTATTTTAAGAACATCAGCCTTTAGTGGAGATATGGTTTCAGCATTTGAAGTCCATGTATTTGTAGCATGCCCTGTTTGTTCAGTACTGTCTTGTTTGGGTTGCTTGCTGTGCACGTCATCCACATTTATTCCTCTTTCTAATTTTGGGGGACATAAATTGAAAGTGCTTAAGACAGACATAGCATCACTATGTCTTTTTGTGGCATCATCACTGCTTGCACGGCCAAAAGAAACAGCTGGTAGGTCTTGAGCATCAGCTGTGGGGGTGCCCGCACTCCTCAGTGCACCATTTCTGTCTACGTTTCTGGCACCGTCGTCGTAACTTCTGTCTTCAGCATCAAGGTGTGCCTGTTCTAAAGGAAGTTTATCTCTATGGAAGTCACTCAGATTTAACAAGTTTTCTTCTGTTTTATGTAATTCATTGCCTACATAATTGTCCCTGTCCAGCAAGCTACATTTTTGGTATTCTGTCTGGGAATTTTCTTTACTATAAGATAGGATGCCAAAACTTAACTCCTTAGCTGGATGATTACTTGTACTTCTCTCACACCCAGCATTCTTCTCAGTGCAAAGAAATGCTTCAGACTTAGCTTTGGGTGCTTCAGACTCAGTTTTGGGTGCTTCAGGTGTAAGGATACTTGCGTTGTGTTGTATGGTATTGAATTTTGTATCTGCTTGGTCACAAACTGATTCATCTGCAGTACTGCACAATGCTTGCTTGCTAGAGTCGGTGTCCTGCTTTCCATTTTTCTTGTAGGCACCTACAGTGCTGTCTAAAAGAACCTTTCTTGTTGGTGTATGGCATGCTGTCAATGGCTCAGTGCTGTCCTGGAGCTTTTGTTCTAAATTGGCATTGTTTTCATTCAGTGACATTCTATGTGTTGCTTCTAGATTTTCTGCTTCTTTGCACTCAGTGACATGTATTTCTGAGGTCTGTCCTTGGGTAATTAAATCGGTATCTGTGGAGAGGGTATTCCTGGGAGAAGCCTCCCCTTGCTTTTCTTCATAAAGGCTAGCAACATTAATTTCATCCTTAAAACTGTTTTCAAGAACTTGTAGATCTGTTAGAGAAATGTATGCTCTAGTTAGTGATAGATAGCCCAGAGGTTAAAGTCATTTGTTACAGTTTAAAATTTCCAAGAGATGGAGTCAAGATTAGTATTTGTGCTGTTTTTTCTGAGCTTAAATTACACACACACGTCTATCAAAAAGTTACTGAAGATAAGTATTGCAGTATGGTAACTTGCAAAGTTTTGATAAACTGTTCAGACAAAACATATTAACATTTTTAGATATTAGATACAGTTTATAGATGAAATATTACCCAACTGGTATCTGTCAGCCTTTTATTGAAAGGAAACTTCATTATGAAATTAGAACACATTTTAAGCTACTGGTTACTACTGCAACTCTATGCATCTATTTTTGAAAGTGGCATTTTTAGCTAAATGGAAAAGAAAGAAGAAAAACTGTTTAAGGGTCTATGTTTTGTAACAAAAGGAATATGCTCTGATTTGATGGTAGTGGGCCTGAGAGGAATAACAAGCATTTCAATATCAGAGAGGTGTTTGCTGAAAGACACACTTGAAAGCTGTGAGCATTGATCCTTTAAAGCTGTTACTTTGCAGTTAATAAGCTTTTAAATTTTCATTTACCTTTGCTACATTTGAGAGACTGAGCATTAAAGACTAAGCACAACTCCTTTATGTGGCTTCAAAAAATTACTTACTGGAGTTACAAAGTGCTTTGTCCTGCAATTATCCACATGAACAGACCTTCACTGTTCTGTGCAGTGCAATCCCTCTTTCTGCCTTTTTTCGTTGTTTTATGGCAAAGGGAAAGCCCTTGGGTTTTGCTTCAAAACACTTACATACACATTATAGTTCCTCCTAACCCCCATTCACTTCAAGTGGCATGCAGAAAGAGTATTGCAACAGCTTGAGGGGTTACAACACACAGATCTTAGTGTCCCAGGGAAGCCACTGGAATTACTGTGCTTTCATTCAGAGCTTTGTAAGTTTATCATAGATTAGCACCATTGACACCAAGAACTTCACTGTTACTACAAAAAAATTTAATCCAGGATTCAAATATTCTCTTGTCATGTACTGTATTGGTAAACATTTATCCTTTCTTCAACAATACTACTTATCTCTATTATCTGTGTGAAGTTAATACTTTGTTCTATCTGTAATTCCTCAATGCTTGAAGAGTAGTCCATTGTGGTTTTTACTTCAGTTTCTTCATCTCCAAAATGACCATCTTTTCTTATAATATATACATTTTCTTCCTGAGCAGCCTGTATTTCACTGTCTTTTGAGTGATCTTGACCACTCTAGCATAAGAAGGAACAAAACGTTATACATATTTTAATAGTTTACTACAGTCACTGATTAGATTTATATTTCAGGACTTGGGTTTAAAAATTATTTTTATAATTCTGGTGGAAACCAAAGACCATGCACCTGAAGCATGCAAAGTTAATGTAAATAGAAGGGGGAAAAAAAGCAGACCAGTAGCCTAGAAGAGCAGGAAAGAAGTTAGATTCTGCTATATTACAGTCCACAGAGAAAAATTCCACAGATTGACAGAGGAAGTAACGTGTTGTTCATGCTCTGACTGGATCACTCCCCCTGTCTGCTGGGTAAATCACTGACCTGCTCAGTACTTACATATGGAAAAAACCTGCACCACTGCTATTTACACTGAAACATGTGTGCATCACATATATTAACACTGTTTTTCTAACAAACCACCCAGGACTTTTAACTTCATTTCCTAGACAAATAAGGCTTATGAATTTGCAATTCCTCTCAATCAGTTCCTCATCCCCTCCCAGGTGGCTTTTTACCCTGAATTTGAGTCAAATTCAACAGGAATAAAAGCCTGAAACATGCATCGACGTAAAGGTGAAGTAACTGGTCTACTGCTGCAGCTGCATTTGACTATTTTTGAAAGTTGCATTCAATAACATTCTGTGAAAACTGGGAACTGAATAGTAAAGAAACAAACTAATAAAACTCCACCAAAAAAAAAGGAAAAGAAGATGCATCCTTTATCATCAACTGTTTGGCAGCTGAAGGTAGGAGCACATGCTGGCTCTTGCCCTAAAACAGAACATAAAAGTAGGCAGGTGTGGGAGGGAGCAGGGGTATTGCTTAGTCCAGAAAAGACATGAGAAAAAGCTGAAGGTTCCTGGGTGACAGGAGGTGTTGCAAAAGGAAGACTGGGGTGTGGGAGGGAGTTGCAAGCACTGTGCTGGGGTACCACATGTGTGGTGAGGACAGAGTATATTGCAAAACAAAAGGAGGCATGTAGATAAGACTGGGCAAAAAATGGGATTATTGCAATGTTGGCATAGTAGGTGATGTAAAATACAAATTGCAGGAAGCAATTTTCTACAGGTCACAGAAACATCCTGATGCTCCCAGCTTTGCAGATTTGGAAGAGGGAGAAGTCATTGTGAAGGGAAGAGGGTCCTAAAAATAAGTTTTCCTCCCTGAAATGGCCCAGTTTTAATTTGAAGTTTCAGTTGAAATTTCTTTCTCTCTCTTTTCCTCATGTTTTATTATCACCTTCCCTTTCATTCTGATTTGGAAATTGTAAATATTACATCTTTCTTGTTTTTTAAATTTTTAATTAGTTAATTTTGTTTCTTGGCTTATTCAGCCTTGGCATCACATTTTCATGCTTTTCTTCTCAAATACAAATAGTAGAAATTTCCTTTTCCTTTCATGAAAGCTGTAATTGTTTTATAATCTCTTTCTTCTAGGAGCTGTTTCTTTAGACAGAAGCACCAAAGAACACAAGATAACTGGCCATGTTACTCTTTTCATACAGGTATAAAACAGCTGCTTCAGTGGAACTTACCACATTCATTGGTATGAGCTGAACTGCTGAATGCATCTGAAACAAACATGATCAAGTGTTCTTGGAAAGGGAGAAAGGTTACATGATTCCTGTCTACATTGTCAGATCAGTTGAATAAACCCAGTTTTCATTAAACTTCAAATGGCTGTTCAGCCCTTAAAAAATCAGCTGGAGATACATAAACTAAAATGCCTACATATCAAAACTATTAAAGCTGGATTTTAATTTCCCCCCCCTGTGATTTAGTAAAATTGAAGCAACAGATATGTACTTAAGATGGTATTTCCCTCAGTATTTCATACTATGAAATTAAAAACCTTCTCCAAACCAGATGTCCCTGTATATGTGTGTATATATATATACACAAAAGAATGACAATAACCCATTGCCAAGTGTAGCCCTCTTCTCTAACAGTACAGAACTGCATTACAAGTGATATTTAACTAGATGTGAAGCATGGTAAGGTTAAAATAAATGGCAGTTGGGGTCTGCAATGAGGTCTGACATGATATCTTTCTTTTTAAAAAAGTGTTTTGTTTAATTACTATTCCACAGGTGATCAGTGTCAAGAAGTTTATTTACATTCTAAATGTCATGCCCCACAAGTAATTGTAGGGATTTCAGATTGCATTAGGTGTAAAAGTAAATGTATGCATACTTCCTTGCAATACATGGAGCCATAGTCAAGATCTAAGCCTTAGCCAACACCTTGCCCTTTTATGTTTTACTAGACACGGACACGCTGCTGATAGAGGGTGAAATTCCAACAATCAGCTGCAGCTCCTGTGATTTCTTGGCAGTGTTCCACTGGAGATTGGACTTGGCCTAACATGCCTAGCTTCTGAAATCTTAGTGCCACACCACTTTGTGTTGTACGATCACATGCTATAAGACAGTGTAAGATACATATTTAGAAGACATCTCAGAGTTTTGCCTTTATAAGCATATGCTTTAAGCTTATCTACTTTCAAACAACTAGAGTTATCTGAGTAAGCACAGGTACTATTGATTGTGAATGAATGACTGTGTGCATTGATTCTGCATCCTAAACATAATTCATATTTCATATTTCATTTTCTTTCAAAGAAGCAATGACTTGTACAAGTCACACAATTACATTACACCCTGTAAAACTCACACAGCTTTGCCATGGTGAGGACTCATTTTGAGTCTAACTTCCATTGCATTATTAATCACATACAGATACGTACATGTATATATATTTGTGTGTGTAGTATGTTTGTGAACCATAAACACATATACATGCATTGTGAAAAAATTGAGTTTAAGTTCTTCCAAATTCTAAAATATTATTATGCTTTGACATTTTGCTGACAAATCATAGACTAGTTCTTTAGAGTCTTAGTGTCTTCCTGCTTCCTGACACGGAAAGCAAAATCATAAACATGCAAAGTGAGTTTTCCCTTCTTTGAAGGATAATTCATTATTTGGATGTAAAAACTAACGGGGAAAAAAAAGATATAACAATAACAAACAACAGAATACACTTCATCTGTTAGGAAAGGTTTTCTTATGGCATATGACTCTTCCCACTTTTTCAATCTTACAAAGGACTGGAACATAGATTTGCAATCCAGTTTAACTGAGGGATAATACAGCTGCAGAGCTACATGCTCTTCCTTTTCCTCAACAGACCATCTTACTGTGCTTAACCTACGTGCTGACTTCTCAGATAGGCTCTGTATATAGAGCTGAACATGGATTTGGTTCAGCAACACAAGCTCATGTGTGTCTGGGGCTTTGTTTGGGGTTTTATTTTTGATCTGTCCCATGTTAGAGGCTTAAAATAGTTCCGTTGAGTAGAAGTGGACTGACTGCCAAAGTTCCAGGGAACCTGTGTACGTATGAAGTCAATGGATCTGCCACAGTATTTGAGAAACACCCATGCAAACTGTTTGTGGAATAGGATTTAGTAAAGATAATCTTAAAACAACTGCTATCTATTACATCTAAATTTATTAATAGTACCTCAAGTTTCTGTGATATAAGTGCCCCTCTGGATGAAAGGGGTATATTCTCTGGGTATACTAAATTTTAATGGGGTCTTGGATTACATCAGATAAATTTTTAGGTTTAGCAGTCTCAAAGGAAGATCAGTGGACACAACAGGCAGATCAGAAAAACTGTCATGTGTCTCATTCTCTAATATTTTTCCACAAGAAATGCAAAGTACTGCAGCTGTTAGAGACACTTGCCTGCAGGTTTGCCACTTGCTCAGAATGCTGATTTTGCTGAGGAGGAGGATAATCTTCAAGATGTCTATGAAATCCTTTAAGGGAATTCCATTCATTTTTAAGAGTGTCTATTTCTCTTCTCATGTTTTCCTCCTGTAATAAGTGAGGGTACACAGAACACAAACACACAGATCTTTACTTCATGTTAAAATACGTAAACCAGTATTTTACAGATATCAGCAGCTCAGCAAATTAAATTCTTAAAAGAAAGTATAGGTGCTATGGAATTTCTTTGTACAAAGATAATTCAGAACTCTTTCATTCAAACCAAAATTTTAATCACATTTCCATCACAGATGATACCTTTTATGAATTGTTTGGGTTTGGTTCCCCCATTTACTTCCAATAGCAACGCTCAAAAAAAGTCACAACTGTATGTGTAGCTTTCTTCCTTTTCTGGCTCAAACATAAACAGTCAACATTTATTCACTACCTACATTGCCAAGAAAGTACAAACAGCAAATAATTTGCTTAGCACTTTATTCCTCTAAATAGACTCAAGTATCCAGTAAGTATGTAACAAATTTTCCTACTTGGAACAAAAAGAATGGTCAAAAATACAAGTTGTAAAAAGAACAAGAAGGACAATTTCACAGAAATACCTTAATTTAATTTACATATATTCCCAGACAGTTTTAACATTATCCATGATGACACTACAGTTTAAGGCATTAAGAGACCAAATTTCTAGTTGGCTGTGGCAGAAATACAAAGAGGGAAAAAAAAAAAAAAGTAAAACGATCTTCTAAAGAATAGTTGGAAACACTCCTGAGAAACGAGCAGGGCCAATTCCCAGGTCTGTACAGGAAACTATGGTATAACTTCTCCAGGAATCAGGGAGCTGAAATCTCAGGGCAGTAAGCATCAAAACACTTCAGCTATTCTGTAGTCTCATGACTGCAGTCATCTCCATAGTGGCTGCACTGACAAGTTAGCAGCAGACAACAGGATTAGAAGGACAACTCTGCTTTATTTTTCCACAGCCTCCCTGAGAATCTACCTACCAAATTCAAAACCTTTCTGGCAGTAGGTGCCAATTATATAGAAAAAAAGAAGAGAAACTATTAAACAAATGCTGCTTTCGAGTCCGGTTGACACACTAACCAGATCTTGTCTTACTGAAGAAGTATTTATTCTTCTTACTTGAAAACATGCATTTATTATTGCAGACAATTTTTAAGCCAAAATATTTTGCTAATTATTTTGGATTACATAATTACTGAAATATTCTTTTAAAGTAATGAAATAGTAGAAAGAGTAGCAGATATTGAAGACCCCTTGTTTAGGTGTACACAGGTGAATTCACTAAGAGGATATAGAGGTTTTTACCTTTTCTTATCCCCTTTTACCCCAGAGTCCACACTGAATAATTCCTGTCAAATCAGGACCTCTGCTTTAAAGCAAGCCTTTGGTGTTGCTTCCTGATTCAGTTGGAGGCTGCATTTTTTTCTGGGTATCTGGCCATTCAAAAATGCCTTTAGTCTGTGTCACTTCAGTATATTTGGGTTTACGTTCATTTTTTACTGTATGACAGTTAACTGATGGTTTTTTCAGGGTACAGGAGTGCAGCCTAAAAATAGTGGTATACTCTTGATAAAGTTGCGTAAAAAATGTCAGGTTTCCTGAAAAATGCATAAAATTCAACGTAAGTTAGAAATTGTATTTGCTTCCGTGTCTAGGTAATGGCAACAGTGTAATTCTGGAATATTTAAGTGCTGAATTCAAGGTAACACCTTGAATTTAGAAAGCTCCTGGGCTCTTGTTTTACAGAACTGCAGGAAGTACACTGGCCTTTTAGAGCACAGAAGTCAACATTTCTCCTAAAATTTACCTTTCAAAATAAAAATAAAATCTATTTCTAGAAGAATCTGCATTACTGGAAAACAAATCAGTTGTTTTTGTTGTATTATTTCTTCAGTATTTTATTAGCGTTTAGGAATTACCTGAAATGCTTGATGACTATTTCAAAAACCCTTTAATACTCTAACATTTAATTTAATAAACCTACATCTTTTTTCCAAGTTCTTAGTGCTTTCTCATGCTCATTTTGAAGATTAAGGAACTTTTCTTCATTTTCCTTTGCCTTCTCCCTTTGCAGCTCATTATCTCTTTCAAGGGTCTGCAATAAAATTAATTATCCAAAAAATAATCAATACCACATTAATGAATTTTGATGTGTTTTATGTTGCTTGGACCTTTGCTTCTAACATGCTGAAAGTGCCATACAGATCAGTGATAATGTGCTATCTCAACAATAATTTTCATAAATTAACAGAAAGGTGCTTATAGTTTAGCTAACAGGAAACAGGGGGAGGTTATGAAAAAAGAAATGGCTATAAAAGGGTATAAAAACACTTGCCATTATTCAGTTTCACTGCATAAGTTTTAATGTGCTGAAAAAGTAATATAAAGTCCAGAGATGAGAAATATGAAATGTAGCATACTCTAGATCCATTGTTCTTAAAGAAAAAATGACTGTATAATCAAAGAAAATATCTTTTTTTTTTGGATCAGTTTTCCTTTTCTAAATTGTTTATTAACCTACCTTATAAACTGTATAAACCTTAAATCCTAAAACATACCTACTGGAATATGAAGTATGTGTCTCATTATCCTTTAATTTATTTCTATTAGATCACTGAAATAGGAGTCTGTTAAAATAACACAAATATTAAGTTTTATATTATCATAATTGTACTTGCAAAATTTTGGGTTAACTCTTTCAGCTTTACTGTGATACATTAAAGCAGTCTTCTGTAGATCAACAGTAACTTCACACAACTCAGGTACTGTTGGAATTTTTATCTTATTACATGTTTATAGCAAACATTATGGAAGATAAAGGGCTTACTGCATCCATTATCTACTATAGAGATGACATAAATATATTTGACTACGTAAGCATAACTTTAATGCACATAACTATGTGACCAGCCACATATTTATGACTCTGCTGAGCTTCTTTGAAAGTCCACCTGAAAAATGTTATGGGGCAATACTCCAATGCAATTCCTTTTACTTAATCTTTTAACTAAAACTCAATCTACTTCTTGATTCGCTTAGTATCCATTTTAAAATGCCTATATTAATTTAGCTACACTATTAAATATATCTTAGACGTATTAACACTAGGAAAATTCAGACTACCCTGCATTCTTGCACACACGGAAAAAGTGCATGACAATATAGTGATCTTCTCTGACAGATTATACAGTTAAAAAGATGAGACAATTCAACAACACATCGTCTGAATAACTGCACTCTGATGTGGTGCTTTTCATCCAGTTCTATAAGCTGCAAGTCCAAGACCACCTCTCTTCAATAAACCAGCTCTAACTCCAAGGATGCTTTTACTTGTGTCTCAAATGCCACTTCCTCTGAGCTAGATTATAATAGGTATTCACAGCATAGCTCACAGGGCAAAATACCAGGAGTAGCAGATGAATAGAACTGATCATATGTTAAAGCCAGTTTTACAGAGAGGGCAACACCTGTATTCTCTGCATTCTGGAGTATTCTGTCATTTGTTAAAGAATTATAACTTGTTTTTCTGAACTCAGAAGGACATTGGTATCCTAGCATCAAGTATGCATTGTTAGAATGAAAATGGACAGTATGATCCTTCTTTACTGTTACCTTGCAAGTTTAAGTGTTTTGTCGTCTTGAGCCCAAAAACAAGCATTAATTTTTTGCAAGTATAAGAGCAAAAATGTTTCCATGGGACTGTACAGTTGTTTCCTCCGTTTTTCTATTATTCTGAAAAAAAACTTTTTCTTGATGAGCAAGGTCCATAGATTTGACTGGGACGTAGGATAGAGGATAAGAACAATACATAACCTTCAGGCCCCATTCATCATATTGCAGTTCTAAAAATCAATAAAGATGGAAGCTGCAGCTCTCAAATTGGCAGGAAAGCAGGCAGACCCTTCAAGTTATATATTCAGCTCTCTGTAACTCCCATTTTTCTCATTCCCTGGAATGTCCTGGTACTTGTAACAACCTTTCACCCAAACTAGTAGCTCTAAAAAACAATGGCATTTTAGAACTACTGTTTAAAGAAAGACATTTCTGCTAAATGAAAATAACCTCATGAGTTCCTATGGGAAGAACAAGAACATGTGACATTCACTTTTAATACAGCATTGCATTTACAGCATGCTATTTAATGGAATTACTGCATTTTATGCATGTATTTATTTTATACAAAAAAGCACATCTACTGAAATGCCTAACACCACTTTTTTGTTTCTGGATGTGATCGCTTGAAAGCTTATCACTCATGTGTGCTTAGATAAATGTTAAGATCCCTTTAATTTCCATTCACAAGTGAGAAAATCTTGGTTTTGAGAATGCACAGAATGTTCTCACAAAACTCAACTGAGATCAAATCTTCACTGATCTTAAGCACCACAGTGAAGACCAAGAAGGAATATTTATGTCAAACTCAGTATTGAGAGTTCCTCATATAGTCAACAGCGCTTTCAAAGGTTGAATCAAGAGCCTCTAATACAAATACAATACAGGAACCTAGACATCTGAAATCAGTGACTTCCCTTTCTCTTCCAGTCACTGCAGCTTTATTTAGTACTACAAAGCAGGTACTTTAATTCCTAGTGAAATTCTAGCTTGTTTCTAATGAAGAACATAACTCATCTTTAACCTTACTTGTTTCATCAAAATGCAAAATTCATATATTGGTAGTGAGGCAGAAGGAAAACTGCTTACATCTATTAAAAGACATTGTAAAGGTTTACCTGTAATGACTCTCATTTCAATTTAGCAAAGAAGCATTTACTTAGAAACCAAAGTATACATGCAGACAGGAAGTTTGATTGGAAGTCAACTGAAATCTTAGTTCAAAACCTTGGCCTCACAGGCCAAGCAGAGAATGAAATAGTTGTGGTTACATACAGACAAACAGTAGATAATTACTAACACTCCAACGAATGGTTGTTCTTGAACCCTGCATGCCATGTGTGACTGGAACAGATATGACCTTAATCTCTAGTTTACTGTGGGCCAATCTGACTTCCAGTGTCATTTACAGTCTAAATTGTTCTGAGCCACTTCCATGTGCTAAGAGAGGAACTGAGGAATGCTGCAATGCTTTCCAGCATGACTACTTACCACCTCTAGTATAGCTATGCCATCAGACTGGACAGCAAGAAATGGCTAAGGATATGCTCTTTTTTTAGTCACTCTGCTCTAACAAAACAGGGGAAAAGCTCTGGCTGTGAAGATCTGAAATTTGAACTATTTTTCCAGAAAAGAAATTTATACCTACATGAAAATTATAAGAAACAAAAGTCATAAAATTATGTGATTTCAAAATACTTGAAACCAACCCCCAATACATTCCAGTCTTATGCTGCAGAAATGGCTGATGAGAATGGCAACCATGATTTACATTAAGGGGAGAACAAAAAGAGGGAAAGCACAGCCTGAGCTTCAAGGTTCATGCTGACAGTTAAGGAGCTAAGGGAGCAATGGAACTGAGGTCAAAAGTTCTGAACAGCATATAGATGTCTTTAACAGCCCTCCACTTACAAAATACATAACAGATAGTAGCAGCTTGTGTGATCAAGAAAAATCTGACCTGATACTCTTCTTTCAGTGCATTTAATTCACTTTCCATTGTAACATTCGTTCGGGTTATTCGCTGAAGCAGCTCCTGTACACATTGTAGAGAGCTGAGAATTTCCTTATTAATACAAACAAATTGAGATATATTGAATAAGATTTTGTTTCTGAAATTTAAACATTAGATAATTTATGTCTTTTTGATTTTTTTTTTTTAATTCTGCCAGTATATATATGTATATTAAAATGTTCTTCAACATTGGGGAAGAGTTTGTAGGAAGAAATCAGAACAACTCCAGGTTCTTCCTGGCCTTTTGCCTTGAGAATATAACATTATTATAACTTACAAGTTCTTTTTCAGAGAGTTTTCTTAAAATGAACAATCCATTGGTACTTCAAATGTATATCAGTGCAAACAGGAATTAAAATATACCAAATCCAACCCCATTATGAGCTCAATTAAACCAACAGAATAATTTCATGATACTATATTGCAATCCTGGAAAATATGGAAAAACCCAGATGAACTATATGACAAGCAAGTAACCACTTCCATTAATGCATCTCCCTTATGTAACATTATTCTGCATCTTCTCAGTTAAATCCTAATGGATGTGAACTACCACACATTAGCTTTGCATCATATAGTGTACGTACCTCAGATGGTGCCACAACTTTCTGAAATTTTGTGGCACTATTTTGTTACTTCAAGAAGAGTAAGTTCTAAAACAAGAAACACCTAACATGAGTTGATTAAGGTGGTACAGATTTACAAACCCATGGGTGCTGCCATTATGTTTGTTTTGGCTGAAAAAATAGATGGAATGGAGACAGAGAGTAATTTTATATTGAACGCTACAAAACATATTTCTAAGGATTTAAAGACAAAGGGAATGATCCACCCAAGCCAATTTCTACTCCCTAAACACCAGAACAGCAGTACTAAAAGAAGACCTGCACAGAACAAAACTACGAGTTTCAGACAGAAGACAGTCTTTAAATGTGCTCAGTTGCTTCAAAATATATTGAGAGAGGAACATATTATTAAACTGAAGTACTTCCATGTAATTGCAAAGAGTTTTCAAATTTATCTACTGTTGGTACTACTGTATACACAGATACATCTATAGAACCAAAATTATTTGGGTGTACTCTCATTCCTTTTCATGCATATATACTTAAACAGAGATTAACTGTATTTTTGCACTGAAGTTTAATTTATATTTAGTTCAGTTTTACATCCAGAGAAACTGAGCCACAGAGCTGTGGAATGCCTTGCCCAGTGTTGTCGGACAGGCTGGCAGCAGAGCTGGCCATGTCTTCTCAGTCAAGTAACACGTTCACTCAATTGGACAAGATTGCTTCTCTGCATATGGGTCACTGCAAATCAGCTATAATTCTGATGGTATATGCAGCCTCAGTCCAAAAACCACTGAAGTCAACATCTTCAGTCAATCCAGATGGTGAATTTGTGTGCTCCATAATACAGAAATCCAGGTCTTCTAACCCAGGTTCTTGGAGAAAACATGCAATTCATCTCTGTATTAGAGCCCCCTCCAGGTTTATACCAAATCCCTCCATATGCTAAAACCAACTAAACAAACAAAGCCTAGCAATTTACACAGGACAAAATAGAGAAACAAAATGGAGTCTTGTTATTAGATAGAGATCAAATATGGATATGAATTACAGTACAAGCATCTCCATATAAATGCTTTTAGTGCATTCAGGGCTGTGGGAATAATGAAGCTTGACTATGTCTCTCATTTTTTCCCCTGTGCTTACTGTCAAGTATTTTTAAAAAGCAAACTCAAATACAAACATGCTTTTACAGATTGGAAGAGTAGTGCTAGATAAGCCTCCTTCAGTGAGTGCTCAGTGGTGTACAAGCAAACTACTGTTTTTGTCCCTCCTGGAGAAGAAGAATGATACACTTCTCTGACATGTTTGGTTTAATGACCTGCAGAGTAAAAATTCTGCAACTGTTTACAAAAAACCCCTACACTTTTTACACTTAATATTCTGCAAAGCAATGTATTATGCTGTTACTAGAACAATTTTATTTTTTTTTTTTCTGTATTTTATCTTTGACTCCACGGACCTTGGTTAGAAAATCAGGATTTGCTCCTGAACATATCTGAGTTTGTGACAGAAGACAGTCTTAACTCAGTTCAGCTATGTATAGGTGTAGCTTAATATTCTAAAGCTATATGTTCTGTATGAACAGAACAATTTCCTTTGCATACAACTGACACAGGATTCCAGTTTTATCTGGTTTCAGTACTAGCAGTATTGCAGTAAACTGGGCAGCCAGAGAGCACAACAGCAAGCATGTTATGCAAACCTTATTGCTTATTTGTGCTGAGTTGATAAGTAAAGAACTTTTTCATGGGTATATCAAATTTCTCCCATGTGAATTCAAAGACAAAAGTTAAGACTTGGAATAAAGGGTCAAACAACAGACTTTGTTCTGGTAATATACTTTCTAAGAACTGAGAAGTAAGATCCTGTTTATGCTAGTATTAAAGTAAGAGTAAACTAGTAAATGTAATTAATTTTAATAGCTTAGTATACTAACTTAAGAAAATTAAATATCAAATATAGCGCATGTATTCCTAAGTGATTTTTAACAGGAAAAGTGTATTAACAACTCACCAGCTTTTCTTCCTTAATGTGAGTGTTTTCCTCTTGAACTTTTTTAATAACTGCTGTCTCCTTAAAAAAAAAGCATAAAGAACAGTAAAAGGCATTTAAAATTACTGCCTGTTTTCTTCACTAATATTAATGTGATATTATGAATCATCATGAGGCTATTTAAAGAAATTGAATTATTTTGAAATTACTTCTTTTTCATATTTTTTAACTATAAAATTATATTCATAGTGTATTTATGTCCTTAGAAAAAGTCCTTCTGGAAATAGCTTTATTTGCATACTGTGTATGCAGTTAGTAGAAAGGAATCACGAATCTGTCTACATCAGAGTGATCACTGCTGTGATATTTGCTGAACGAAGAACAGAAGATATTCACCAAAAAATGTATTTGTTTAAATTCCAAAATACCATTCTGTATTTCTGTTGCAGTTCTTGAAACTGTTTCTCCTTTGTTGCAAGATTGATGTTTTCTTCTCCCACCCTGTACTGAGATGTGACCTTGGACCTTATCAAGTCTGTAGTTACTTTCTTCAGTTCCTTAACACAGGAAACACATATAAATAGTTCATCCAGTAGAGGCATTGCAATTCAAAACAAAGACAAGTCTTTGGAACTATCCTGAGTCATGCCCTACTTTTAAATAATGTATGGAAACAACAGAATAAATTAGAGGAATCAAAATTCTTAAGACTGATTTGCTGAACTTGAAATTTGTCACATAGAAAAAAGTTTATTTTCAGAGGTAAAATGTTACTGTGCTGATTTTCCTGTTTGGAGTATTTATGATACTTCAGCATTTCGTTATTTTCTCTTCCAAGAAGTATATTAGAAGTGGACACTAAGTTGGTATTGGTAAAACTTCCTAAACCAAGATACACAATAGGAATAAAGTACCTATTGTAACTACCATGTATGTTCATGGGAATCAAAAGGAAAAAAGGAAGACCAGTGACTATCTGGTAAAAACAGGAACTGGCTATAAATTTGGAGGATCTTTGCTTTCCCCTGAGATTAAGTCATTAATGATTCAGGAAATGCTAAATTAATTTTATATTAGAGGCTTCTACAACATGGTTTTCCATCTAAATTATGCCTTTGATTTTATGGTCTTCATAATCTTTTACATATCCTGCACTCTTTTTTTTGTATCTGTTTTCTAACCAGTTTATTCCAAGCTCCCAGTGCAGCAAATAAACAGCAAAAGCTTTGATCTCATTAAATTACAACTTATAGTTCCTGCAGTCATAAATATTGTGCCCTGTTCTCCCCCACCCCTCCCATTCTGGTACAAGGTAGTCTGTTTAATATCGCTCTCTCCTTGAGCACTCTGACGTTTACTCAGACAAATCGCAGAGGTTATGAATGCTGCTCACAGATAGTATCAAGAATTCTTCGTGATGCCATAGTGGTGAACCAAGCATTCACAATGGTAATAGTTTTATCTAACAACTACTTTTGGTCTGTTTAACTTTTCTTCACAAAACTGGAATTCCATCTTATCACAGACCAATGGTTTAACTGTTCTGGACAAAATCATACAACAGTACGAAAGAAAAAAGGAAGATTACATTGTAGCTGAAATTCACAAAGTTTTATGGAAAATACAAGTATAGCTACTGCTTTTAAATATTTTTTTTTTCCTATAGGCTTTGTTTCTCATGTATTTTAGCCATAACTAAATCTAAAATGATCTAGTAGGTATTAAGTGTAACGGCAGAATCAATTACAGAACCTAAAGACAGCAATGCTTTACTACTGTGATATTCTGTAAACTAGTAAGACTTTTTCCATCTTCAGCAAAAAAACATATTATTTTACTGTTTTTCCTAGAAGGCTCTGTGATGAAATATGAAAGGAGAGTTCCTGCATTTAAGTGGCAGAAGGTGCAAGCAGTTTTAACTCTGTAAAAGTGAAAAGGTGCACTGTGCCTGTCTGTACCGAGAACTTGAGTAAGAGTACATGGAACACAGCTAGCAGGCTGCACATTACACAAGCAGGTGCAAAAGCCTCCTATGGGTCAGATACCATATATTTCCCAAAACTCAGGGTTTATTGTGTGCAGAAAAATCTTACTGCTTATTTTGTCATGGTGGAATCACAAGTGGCACCAAGGAAATTATGTCCTTAAGGTAGAAAAGATGCCTGCATTTTCTTCTTTTTATATAGCAGGTGGATGTGTATAAACCATCTGGAACCCAACCCAGATCTGCTAATCTAACAAAGCTGTAGGTAGGGAAAACTAACACCAACAACCAACCAAAACCACAACACAAACCAGACTACCAAATACAACAGGGAAGTTTCCATGGTAAGGGAAAGCATAAGTCATGTAGCTCTGAAAATAATATAAAATAATTTTATATGTACATATATTCTCTTGTACTTTGAAACTAAAAAATATTGTCAGATTTTGAGGAATGCTAAGAAAGAAGGATAAAGCTTTGAACCCACTCCTTGAGGTGTTGCAGCAGCCAGCGTTTAAGGACACAGCTCAGTAACGCCTCAAGCCAGCGAAGTCACTAGTGCCCCAAAAGAAACAGTCCTGCTCTTTACACATATTTTCCTTTTGCCAGTTGATCTAAGCTAGAACTTCCTCCCCTTTTTCTTTGGTAAAATGTAGTTTTGATCAATAGAAAATTTTCATTCTACTTTCCCTCAAGGCCACACAAATGCATGTACCAGGATGCAGAGGTGGTATGAGACTGGAAGAGCAGCCAGCACAGGCAGATGTGAGCAGTTCCCAAGGCACGGCTGATACCTTACACAGACTTTTAACTGCATCCAGAATTACAACTCCATCTTTTTGCTCTATTCCTAGATAGGTGCAACTCTCTTGTAATCTTTCAGGCCTCGAGCAGCATAGCTGGTTTTTAAGCATCAGAATGAAAAAAATCCTCTTTTTTTTTTGGCCAGATTTCAATGCAAGCATTTTCATAATAGTTGAAAAGAATCCTACCACACTGAATATCTAAACATTCAAATCCTGAAACAAATGTTACTGAAAAGGAAATTATGCTACAGTCCATTAAGCTAAGGTTTAGGAACTGGACTTGTGAGCAGGCAATGTCAAGAGGAAACTACAACCTCTTTAAATACCTCTTCCCACAAATCCCAGAAGTCTAAACCTGTGCAGGAAGGACTTTAATTTAACCCAGCTTTTACTGTTGTGCATATTTAACACCATCATCACATACTTGAAATTCAATTAAAATTGGAGATAAGTGTTTTTTTATCCATAAATTTTGAACATCATTCACTAACTTCATATTTCCATTAAGAACAAATGTGTGAGATCATCCTGGTCTGAGTCAAAGTAATAGCTGTAAGAGCTGACAGCCAAATTAAGATTTTGGTACTAAGGACAGTTATTCCCACTCCAGCACTGACGCTACAGAGGAAAGAAGTTTGAACACAGAAGCTGTCAAGAGCTGTTAGAGGTCACTCAAGCCTCAAAGGCAGATAAAACCAGCTTTACAGGTTGTCCCAACTTGGGCTGCAGATACAATGAATTCTTTCAGCTATGTAGCAAGTGCAAACAATTTGGTAATCCCTCTTCCAAACTTCTCTCAACATCAAAGTATTGTCATTGTTTTGTATCTCTTGTAGGTCTCTTCAGCTCTACAACAGGGAAAACACTTGACTGCCCCAAAATCCCTTTTGCAGTGGCTGGGCTAAGGACAAGGTAACCACAGTGAAAGGAATCTAGCTCAGGGCACCTAGTCGGTTCCATCACTTCTTTTCTCTTCCCCTGCAGTGACCCAGAAGATGAGCCCACAGGCCCTCAGGAACAGAACTGTGCTGAACCAACAAGTGCCATTACAGATGTACTTCAGGAAGCCAGTCTCACTGCATAACTGTCTGGAAGTGTTTTAAAGGCAAACTTTTGAAATAGGGAATTCTGTTTAGAAAGGGCTGTAATTTTTTTTCTTTTTTTTTACTATATTGTTCATTTCTGTTTTCACATAAATTCTGCATTTTGAGGAAAAAGTCAAGTCTATTATACCCAGCTTTTATTTATAAAAGCATTTACGAATAAACAAGCCCTCCCCCCTTTTTTATTTTTGCAAAATGATAAGAAGTTAAATTCCAGTTCAGTTTTCAACCATCATTCAGAATAGGATGGTCAAATACTAAATCTATAAGAAATTCAGAAATAATAATGATAAAGGCATTTCCTGGTGAACCCAGGAAGCCAGATTAAGTTTCAGCTGGCCCCTGCTCCTGCTTATCTAACAGTATTTTATTTAAAATTCATTACTCATGACCTTAAGAATCAAGAGTACAGCTTAAAAAAAAAAAAAAAAAAAAAAATCCAAGCAGTATGTTTGACTGCTGGAGTACATAAATCACTATCAGTTTATCTCACACACCTCTTAGTGAAATTTGTGAGTATGTGAATTTTTCTTAAAAATTTTTCTTTTCTTTCCTCCCAAATTACTTACCCTCACAGGATTCTATGTAATGAATTAATCTTCATCTCTTAACCAAAATCAACAAATCCAATTTACTGTCATGCTTAAAGATTTCTAAAGCTCCTCAATTTTGATATTTATAACATATTACAATAAAGATATGTTATTCATTTTAGATGAATGTCCCACTTTTTGCCAGATAAAAATTAATTGTCCTTTTAGAAGGGAACTGTGCAGCTGTAGTGTGCCCAATGCACCCAAGACAAAGCTGTCTTCAAAACTTCGTAGCTATGATGATGTCAGCATTCCAACAAATATGGATTTTCTATAGGGGAAAGTTATCACCAGTGGCAGCTTCCAATACTTTTCTGTTGCTCTTCCATCCATCAAATATTTGGGTAAATATATATTGGTTTTATATATAAACATAAAAATATATACTTAACCTATCACTTGAATTATGTAGCTAAATAAACATTTCTAAATGTTTTCTAATTGTGATTTAGAAATTAATTTGAGAATTTTTCCACTGTTCTCCTTTACTGTTACTGTGTTTCTCAGTATGCTTTTATGTTGGTAGGAGTGCTGAAATCTTTTGAATTCAGACAGGCATTTCAAAACTTGGTATTTTTGACACTGAGTTTTGCCATATTATATTTTAGTATGCAACTAAAATCTAGATTAAATTCCTGATTAATCTTTAGTGTGCTTAGAATATCTTCATGTAATGGATATAAAAATTAAGTGCTACAGAAGGTAAGGATGAAGCTTCTTTCAATTTATATTTTATACTGAAACAGAGACAGTTTAATTTGAAGTCAGGCTTCTAGGGCCACCATACTCCAAAGAACAATAAGAGGCTGTGTGCTCTTAATAACAAAAAACAACACTAGATTCAGGGAGAATTTTCAAATACTTCTGTATCTTCAAATCTCATTTTTCAGGCAAACAAAGGTCATGGCAGGCAAAGATCTGATTTTTGATCCACATGACCCAAATATAAGTTGGTCAAGTCCCTCATCATTTACAAATTATCTGTCTCCCCCTGCCCCTTTTTGTTTTGCAAGAAATTCACAAACTTGGCAAAGATTTCATAGTATTCCAAAGCCTTTGTCTGGAAGCTGGGAATTAACATTAGGCCAAAAAGCCAAAAAGAATCATGCATTTGTTCTCTACCTAAAATCCTCAGAGAATCAAAGGGAGAAGGAAAAAAAAAAAAGAGAAAGATGAGGAAATATGATAAAGATGTGGTACAGAAAGATACTGAGTTTACAGGGTCCCTCTGCTCTTCTCCTGTCAGCACTTAAACAGCTCCAAGGGAAAAGAGAACTTTATTCTTCCCACTATTACAAGTATTTAATAGTGCAACTCAAAAACATACCTAGCAAACAGTAGTTTCTGAATACATGAGGGCAGAAAACATCTTAATGGCCTTATCACTATAATCTAATGTCTCAGTTGCCCTCTCACAAAACTCTCTCATTTCTGACAGAGATTCACAGTTATGCTTTTTATCCTACTTTCAAGCTACCAACTTGCTTCTACAGCAACCACCTGCATGTTCTAGCTCTCTTCAGCTAAACTGACAACACCAGTGCTCCCTTTCCATGTCAGACGGCAGAAGCAATGACAACACAGCAAAGGAAGAAAAGACCTTGCTAAGAAATGGCAAGAAACAAGTAGGATGCTGTGGAGATAAATAAAAATTCCTGTTACAGAAACTATTCAGGGCTGTGGCTCCAACTTTAACTGGCATTCATCTGAAGTATCTGTGCATAGCAAGGAAGCATAAGAATAATTTAGCCATTAGTCACAGAATGAAAACAGCTCTGCTGTTTGTCCACTACTTCTGTTCATACTACAACAGCTTGCAGAAGACCCAGAGAACCCCACTTACACTTGCAGAAATGCAGACTTTACTTACTTCCTTCAGATTACTTATTTCAGTCTCTTGTCTTTTATTCACTGCTGTTAGCTTCTTATTGAGCTGTATGGCTTCCTGTACTTAAACAGGAGTTAAAAGATGTTAGTCGGTACTTTCATATTTGAATGAATACTTGATTTATAACTGCAATGTATGTGTATACCATTTATAAAATAATTAAACAACTTTGTAGAGAGGGGATTAAGACTGAAAATATGTCTCAACTACTATTTCTGTATAGTGTGATACTATACTGGAGGATTACACCAGGTGATACCAGTTGGTCTATACCTCTAACAATGAGTTAAGACTTTTCTGTATGTTGGTTTGCTTTAAAAAAAAAATTTAAGAAATTGTAATTTAAATTTTAGTTTCATTTAATATTATTTCATTAGGATCACTTCCCCATGAACTTTTAAACTTAGTTTTGTTTAATGAAGGTTTTGCTTGTAATTTTCTGATGAGTTTATTTTTAAAAGAACACAGAACATAATGGACCACAGAACATTCAGATTATTGAGTTAAGAAATGTAGAGAGTTACATGCACATAGGACATGGAACACAGCAAATGGCAGAGGAAAGTGGAGAGGAAAACTAAGAATAACCTCTGTCCCTTTTGAAAGGGAAGGGAATTTTCTCTTTGAATTTATACAGGCCAAGATCTCATCAAGCAATTTCCCAGTGATAAGCTGAAGATATTCACTGGTCCCTGTACTTTTAACCTTAATGTTTTACCTTGATTTGGTTTCAATATTAAATATTAGCCTATTAAAAAATTTCAATATAAAAAGTGACTTTAGGTACTGAAACATCACAAGAAAACACAGAACATGGTACAAATTTCTTCAAACTAGAACTGAATAACTATTTGGTTTCAGGCAGAAAAGCCCCCAAACTTATCAGCTTTGATATTTGAAAAAGTTCTTTAGTGGTTGTTTTTTGTTTGCTTGGGGTTTTTCATAAGTTGTTTTGAGTTACACAACTACTTCCCCCTCTCCTTTGTAACAATACTTATTTACATCCCATGCATGTGTTCACACGGATAAAAACTGCAGGCACACAAAACGATACACAAGTCCATATTCTACACATATGCTGTGAGTGATGTTTGTGTAGAAATTTATCATTTTGTTCTGAGAAACAAGGATTTCTCTCTCAAATTAATAGGTACAAAACTTCATTTAAATGAGGTATTTTACTTACTTGAGGTTATCAGCTTTATTATTTTAACAATTATATTTATATAAAAGTATGTGGAATAGTATTTGTGTGTTAGTAGTTTCATAATAATTTTGTTATGTTTCAACACATGAATAGGGATACAGATTTATAAAGCTGGAATAGCCATATAGTCAGAATTTACATAATAAATGTATAATATTATTCATACCACCCTATTTTACTGAAATGGTTCTAAGGTTTTATATATCTGTAGAAGAAAATAAATTTTTATTATATCGTTAATGTTTTCTTGTCCATTTCCAAACCTGCTTTAAAAAGCATTCCTTCTCCCCCGTTTGCTAATTCTTTTACTTTCACCCCCTCACTTGAGCTGCTACAACCGTTTAAGTTGATTATGCTGAATAGTAACAGGAGGCTGATCCAAACTAGGAGTTTTGGTTTTTTTAAGGGGTAGGGCTGTTTTGAGCACAAATCAGTTCTATGGTACAATTTACTGTGTGGTCACACACACAGTAGTGTGTCCGCAAAGAGCAGAAGAGGTACAGGGCCTGTGCTGCTTAACCTGGCACTCCCACAGGAAGAAACACTGAGGGAGCTACAGAATAGCTGCTATTTTTCTGAACTGTCATGCTTCCAACTCAGTGTCATCAAAACACAGCAAAAACAAATTCTGGAGGACATTTAAGACATACATACCACTGTGCTCCAGTTTTCCATGAACACCTTTTATGATTCCAAACTGACATGCAATAGTAGTGTAACACTTCTCAACTTCATTCAGCTTCTTGTGATGCTCCTCTTTTGCTGTTAAATGCATCTGTAATTTTTGATCCTGTTAGAAAAACAAATGAAGCACCTACTTAGTGATAGTAAATAGCATGTATAAACCAACTCTCAAAATGCTTCTTAACATAAGAAAATATATGCAAAATTGTTCCCAGAGTATCTTAGTTGCCTATTCTATTTCATATCCAAAGGTCAGTTCCCATCTCCAGATAGCGCCTCATTCCAAAGTCCTTCACCTGTGTGTTAGATCATCAAAAAAGCATTTTAACATGTTCTCATATATTGTCCCTCCTATTTAGGAGAATTTTCATGTAAATGTCTGCAGAATTGTATGAACTGTTTTCAAATCCTTATTTCAAGTTTTCTTTTGTTATGTGTCTTAAACGTGTATTTAATCTGCTATTGTATTGTGAACACAGCCTGACACGCTAATGCTGCCTATGGTTTACACTTGCCCTGCACCACCACTCAGTACAGCATGGCACTCTTGCCTTCCTTTGATGTAGGATGTCCATGCAGTTTAACACAGTCCTCATCCTACCCCAGCTATTCAGATGGGGGCTGCACCTGGCCATGTCTTTGGCTGCAGATCGAAAACTATGCCATAGTTCCAGCAGCTGTATGTTTGTACCTCACTGCCCTGGATGCTTATTTGTCCCTACTGTAGTACCAAACCAAACACACCACATTCTCAGGTCACAGCAATGCAACAAAACATGGGGCCTGTTTAAAAATGCTAAATGGCTGAAATCACAACCCCCATAACCCAATGTCCAGCACACTCATAGAAGAGCACTGGACAGAGCAAGTGGCTGGAGAAAGGTTAGAGTAGGAGCTCTTTAAACTCTGGCAACAGCACCAATACATGCATCATGACAACAAGGCCTAGAGACATTTATTGCTGCCTGTTACACAACAGGAGTGATTTATTATGCAAATACTGTTCAGTCTTCTTTGCAAAGCACTAGTAAAAGTACTGTCTTCCTTTTATGGTCTTACACAGTTTCCAGGATAACATGGTTTTAATGAACAAGCAACTTTTAAAGCTATAAAGCAATACAAACTAAATAATGTTGTTTTTTTTTTTTTTTTTTTTTTCAGCACACACTTGTTCACAGTATAGGACTGCCAGGATAATCAAAGAACTTGGGCACCTGACAAATGAGGAGAGGCTGAGGGAGCTGTCCCTGCTCAGCCTGGAGAAGAGGAGACTTGGGGAGATCTTATCAACGAGTATATACACAGGGGAGGGAGGAAGAAAAGACAGACAGACACAGCCAGGCTCCTTGCAGTGGCACCTCCTGACACAAAATGAAACACATGAAATGTCACTTAAACTTGACGGGAGGAAACAATTACTGTATGCAAAGTATACAATGGAACCGGTGGCACAGACAGGCTACAGAGTCTGTCTGTGGAGATGCTGAACACCCGACCAGACACGGCCCTGTGCAGTCAGCTCTAACCAAGCCTGCTCTGAGCAGGGCAGGGCTAACTAAGCCATCTCTGCAGATGCCCAACAGCCTCGTCCATTCCAGTTCTGGGATTTGTAAAATGACAGTGCCAGAACAATTGGGAGAGAATTCGATACACCTAAATAAAAGAACTCCTGCATACCTGATGAAATCCAGAAGCACATGAACTGCTTTTAAAGAGTAGTGATTACTTTGATTTAGATTAGGGAAACTTAACGCAGATTAACATCCTCAATATCAACTAACTATTGTAGTATCTTGAAATATGATGAATTCACTTCTACTTTAAGATTATGTATCTGTATGGGGGGAGGGGGTTTCTAACTACTTCTGTAGGCATCTAACACTTTATTGTGAGTTCTATTAACATCTTGGCCTATGCAATATCTTATGGCAAAGATCCCCACAGAGTAATTAAGCAAAATGTATTTGAGTTTAATGCATTTTATCAATCTCCTCCTCATTTTGTGAGGGGGTGATTGAAAATACATATTCACGGGAAACTATATTCAGTGAAACATGCCACTGATTTTTTAAAAAGTTACTTGTTATCCTTTCTTTCATATACGCTGCATATTTCTGTGTTTCTCTTTATGCTTTATTTTTGCCAACAGCTTCGTAGGTACTATTTGGTCAATTTTAAAATTAGTTTTCTCTGAAGAGAGTGGGTTAAATTAATTCCTCAGAAAAGACATCCATTTATTTAGACATCTAATCTATTTCTAATCCACAGCAGAGCAACACAGCAATTAAAATGAACTGGGCCAAATTCATTCCTGTGTGTAAATTCAGGTTGCACAAAGACGAATCTGGCCCAGTGTGTTTGGCTTCTGCAAGGCTCCGTTTCCACAGAGTAACCAATGCAATACATGTCCAAGCATCAGAGGATAATAAAAGCTGATAGTAATCAAAAGAAATGACCAACATAAGGCTAGCAAAACAGGACATACAATACAAATTTCTCATGTTTTATAAGGTATGAAATTAAAAACACTACAGCAAATGGAAAGTCATAATGGAAGCACTGGTAAAGAAACACCACCACACACAGAACCGCTGCAAGGAGCCCAGGCTGTGAATGTTCACACACTTCCTTTTTTACCCAGACATAAGTACACTGTTGAAGAACTGTACTGAACTAATGCAAGGATACGGATTTTATAACAAAAAAAATAAAAAGGAAAAATTGTATTTGTTTTTTCTGACAGTCGTTTTGAAGTATTTATTCTAAGAGATCGATGAACAGAGAGGCATCGCTAATCTGAGGCTCAAACAGCTTGTGACAAGCTCTGAGGTTTTTTTGCACTTTCTTTCATACCAAATTTTCTCAGTGTTCTCCCCGTTTCTGTCCTCAGTCCACAAGACAGTGTCAGGCCCTCCTACTCACCAGAAAATTATAAACACACTTTGTTATTTCCCAGGCCTCTTTCCAGGGAGAAAAGGAATTGCCCTGCTATATCCTCAAGAGCTTTATTGAGAGCTTGCCACTTGCGTAAATATGATTTTTGATGTCAAACTGCTCTACAGGCTTAGTGCACAGAAAATCAAAGACTGAATATGTCAGTCTTCTGCTCGCCGTGAAAAGGTCTTAAAACATTCTTCCACAGAAGATAATGAAAAAACAAGAGAAGACATGGCAGGATAGGGAGGATATGACCCTGAAGTTGCAGTGAGACCCACAGAATCTTGGTTCTTCTTCCTACCATCTGATACTGCAAGAACAGGAATTATTAGCCTGCCCTCCACCAGTAATAAAGATAAGCTGGGGTGGGGAGTGGGATTGATTGTGGCCATATGGTTTGTTGAGGCACAATGATTCCTTGGTGGAACTAGACCAGAGAAATAGCTCAGGGTCAGGTAGGTGACTGGAGGAAGACAAAGAGGGAATTGCTCATATCTCAAAGATATTCTGGAAATTGAGTCACTAGTCAGAGTTACTCAGTGAAGCAGAAGGTGGTAATTGGGAGGTGAAAGTGTCAGAGAAACAAAGGAGATGTAGTAGCATGGAGACCTAAAGCAAGATCATGTGAAAATTATGCAAAGGATTACCAACTGTAAATCTTCAAAACCAGAAATTGTTTTCTACAATAGTTCCTTTAGTTCCCACAATTTTTCTACTTAATTATTTTTAATTGACACTGTATCACTGCCTTCTCACTGTACTTTTAAACAACATGGTGTAATTGCAGGCAAATTCCTAAAAAAATGTGGAAATAAAACAAAAATAACATTCCTATCTTAGAAGAACAAACCAACTTTAAAAATTATATTTGTTCAACATTTTGCAGTAATTCATTTTTCATTCATTTGGCAGCTACATCTGTATTAGAAAACTAAACGGAGGCTGGGAAGCTCTCAGCAAATGCCTATACTGCTCCTGAAACATCCTGGGCACACTTTGGCCTCTGCCAGGTACCATTCACATAAGCAGTTTCTGGGCACAGCTCAGGAGACTCTGCTGGTAACAACGTGGGTTATTTAATCCAGCTTCTCTCTGTTTTGAAAAGCAGCAGAGCTTAATGAATCTAGACCACTAAGTACTACTTGAATGCAGCTTCACTAAATAGTCTCCCAGACATTTAGTTTACCAACATAAACAGAGTCAGCAAGTGAAACTTCACTAATTACCAGCCATTCACACAGGTACTCACCCCATCTACTTCACTCATTAATACTGAAGCAGTGAATCACCACCTTGCAGACAGTGAAGTCTCCCCACTGAGTACACAGAGAGCTTGTGCTCCAAATTTGCTCTTCTGAACTGCAGACAAGACCTGGTCTCTAAACCAGCCAACACGAGCCTTAATCTCACTCTTGAGTTTTTTTTATATTTTAGCACCATTATAAATATTCAAGATATAGATACTGCAGAAAACAACTCTAAATGGTCATTCTCTCAGACAGCCCAGGATCAGACAACACAAGTTAAGGGAACACTGGAAGAGATGCTACACCTGGAGTTCTAGCATTCTACATTGTACCACCTGCCAGGAAATTAAAGGAGGAGAAAACCCAGACCTGACCAAGGACATTTTCCTCCAGTTATTTCTTCATTTCAGCAGCAAGAGAAACAATACAACACAGAAGCCACACTCGGGCATATTCTATCAAGACAAGTAGCTTTGTAGTCTCATTCTGTAGCCTCCTGACTCCACGAGTGCTACAATCCATATGCAGTGAGGTGCAAAGTGACTACAGCACACTCAATAATTAACATTTAACTGTGGAAACAAAGGAAAGATGGAAGAAAAAGAAAATCTTTATTGCTTTGTCTCTATACAGTCTTTCAGTATGAAAGAAAATTTTCCACTATTTCAAAATTCAAGCATGTATCATAAGAATTAGATCAGCACTACAATTTTAATCTGAACTTAACTGGATAGCACGCTAAAACATGGTGCATATATGGTGCAAAATATTATCATTGCATGTACTATACTGACAGAACAGAACAAAAGGAACAAAGCCAGAATAAAATGCTGCATCAATAAGACATGCTCAATCCCCAGCACGCACAAAAGCTTCTTCACTGACTGGCAGGGCTTCTGAGGTGCCAGATAGAGACTGAAGAGCACGTCTGCTTACTTTCCATACACCAGCCAGGGCCTGATCTAATCTGCTTTTAAAAAACTTAAAATTGAAATAGAAATGGGTCTCAGATAAATTAATGGTTTGGAATTTCATCCATTTTACTTTTAAACATTTTTACCTTTTGTGATAACTAAGTCTACATGGGCTATTACTACTTTGAATCCTAAAACATACCATTTATTTCAACTACTCAGGGAGTAAAGTTGGTAGAATTTGACTTGGTTTAAAGCTGTATGAGCCCACATAATCTTGAGGGAAAGAATTCAGTTCTGGTTTTTGTTTTCACCATTTCATATCAGAGCATCTTCTATAAATACAGCCAAGCTATGCATATTACATTCAGTGCTACATGCAAAAGAGGATTTCTAATATCTTGTCCCTTGCTCAACAGCATTTTTAATAACTATGCTCTGTGAAGTTACAGTACCTCAATGTTTTCAAAATATTCAAATAACCTGTTATTGAAAAGTTTATAAACATAATAAAGAAATGTATTTGTTCTATCAGCACAGATGCATTTCCAGCTTATAGAAAAGGTAGTGTGATTGAAAAATTCTCATTCATAAGTAAGACTGCGCTTGCAAGTTATGAAAGGCAGCATGTGAAATGACCTAAATATAAGTTCAATAATTTTATGTATTTTAAACACATTTTTAGATCAGATATATTTTACGAATAAATACAAGTTAAAAGTGAAGTAAGACAAAACACATTTTATGTTGCCTTTGATCTTTAACTTGTAGCCTTATCTCCCAGGTCAGAGGGCACATTATTCAATTTCACCATATTTTGTGTAAAACCACTGTAGCGTTGAAGATGACTTTCAGTACAAATGTCATGGTACTTAAAGCTAAACTGGACCCTAGTTTTTTAAGCTTCTTAATTAAAATAACAGTTTGTAATGGTCTGACAATATTATCTTTATTCTTTCCAGTTGAGCAGCAGCAGAATTTTCACAGCATTTATTCAATCAAGCTTAGTAATGTTTCTGTGGCTCACTCTGACTTCCTAAAACACACAACAGGGTTCAGAGCAACTATGCTGTCACTCTATATAAATTTATTCTCTGTGTCAAAGGGAGTAAGCTGGACTGGATGAAATCTAAACTATTCAGGGGAACTGATGTTAACAAGTAATTCTGAGGAGTGGAAAAGAGTGAGAGGAAAAACATTCATCAGTTTTTCTTAAAAAACTAAACTAAGAATTGCTTGGATCTCTCCATTACTTCCTTCATACGAATATGCTAGATCCTATAACAGAATTACATTATTCAAATCACAGTCTATAAAAATCTTCAATTTAACCTATAAATAGAACAAACATACCAATTACATTTTAATTTGGAGAAAAAAAAATTCCACATGGTAAACAACAACTATCACACTATAAAATTGTAAAAAAAAAAAAAAAAAAGTTATTTAAAAGTTCTTCAGATTCAAAACCAATTATGACTTCTTGTTTATTTGCAATAATAATCACACATCATTTAAGTTTTAGAGTTGGCTAGCATTTGCATTACACTACGCAGGCATTCTCTTTTCATGTTCTTATTTTTTTACTTTTACTAATTTCTTACCATTTCATTCAGTTTCTTTTGTAAAGTGTATTTTGAGATCTGTAAAATGAAAGAGGTATCAATTAAATTGCAGGTACAGTTTTTTCTGATTACAACCTGAATATTTAGATATTCTTATACTTAAGATTTAATTGCATTTATATCCATTCCAATACAGTTATACAGGTTTCAAATTAATGATTACACTATTACTTTTATCATTAGATTCACTTTACATAATTTCACTTCAATATTTAAATTATGTAAAAGCTCACTGCATTGATTTGTTACTAGAGGAATTTTGAAAAATGCATAAATCCTTGACTTTTCTAAAATGTCATTAAAATGAGTAAATGGATTCCAGAGTATAAACTAGACTCCTAGAAACAGAGAAGAAAACAGAGATAGAAATGGAAGTATTCCCTCAAGTCCCAGAGGAACTAAGTATGCCCCCTGTTGGAAAAAAACCCTAGGTAGGTATTCTGAACGGTGGCATATAAAGACATACCATACCAATTCTGCATGCTTTAATAATAAGACATTTGAAGTCATTAACACTATTTTTCATACACCATTGACATCAGAATATTTTGAGTTGCATAACACTTAAGACTGCAAGAGCTTTAGTCACTGTATCTCTTAGAATGTTTAAAGAAACATTGACAGCGTCTAGAAAAAAGAGAAACGTCAAAGAACCCAAATCCACATTTACCTGTATGTGTAAATCTTATAAAGAAAATATTATTTCTAGAAAAAAAAAAAAAAAAGCCTAGAGAACTTGTCATTTTAAGGTAGAATTCTGACTCTCTGGATAGAGAGGACTACAGTACAGAATTAGAAACTCCTCACTCTTATTTTAGGCTGGTTTCCAAACAAATTTTCTGGGCCCACAGGTTCATTATCATCTCCTGCTTCCTCAAGCCACAGCAGAATTTCCTATATCTGAACTATACTGTTACATAAACGTTTGACCTCCGAACATTAAACATTCCAAAAAAGCTTAACATTAAAATTCCCATTTTATCTTACAAAAGGAAAGCCAGTGGAATCTTTCATTACTCTTGCTGTCTGCATATTACGTTCAGTAGACCATGGAGGGATATTCGACATCAGTTGTGCTATGCTAAGGTTTGAACAAGGCAAGAAAATCCTTCCAGCCTTTGTATGGAAGGCCAACCATGGGAATAAATTCCTTTGCCTCCTAAAATACTTTTGATGTTAATTAAACATTTAAGTAAACAGCCTGGTAGCAAGTAAATGCACCCCATTTTAAGATAATGTTAATAAGAACCAAACACATTGCAAAATCGTGAGTGATAACCAATAGAATTTTTGGTTATTTTTCAATAACAAAAAAAAATCGGTTATTTTGGTTATCTTTTCAACAGAATTATCCCATAGTGTTCAACAGTGTTATCCCGTTCAGTTTTGGGTAGAAAAACAATTACTTCCTGGCAATACCTCAAGTCTGGTAATGCATTATAAAGCTAATTCTCTTCTGCACTGAGTTCTACTCTTTTAATTCTTTTCCAACCTATCTGCCTTGGTCTCTGAAAGAAAACCAAACACTAGCTACGTCCTTATGTCTTCCTCTATTTCAGGAACTCTGAATCACAGCCACAAATGCCCCAACACCAAGTAACAATATCAAATACAATACAGAAATAACACCAAGCAGCACCAGAGTAAATTCTGTGTTTATCCAACAATCTCACTTTCACTGACAAACAGGCATTGGAAAACCATGGATTAAGTGGGAAATACAGAAGCCTCCTCATGAAACGCAGGAATATAACAAAAAACACAGGTAGCACTGTGAGTTGGAGGCCCAGTGTGAATACTTGTTTCTGTCTAGGAGTCAAAACCCAGAGTTTCCAGACAGGTGAGAAGTAAGATGATAAAAATAGAAAGAAAGAGGAAGACTATGGAAATGCAAAGAAAGCACACTGCACATGCTACCTGGCATTTTACTGATTCTGCAAGTTCTTCCGGAGAAAAAGAACATTAGCCGGCAGTGTTAGAAAGTGAGGTGTACAGGTACTAGAAAGATTAAGTGAGAAGGCCTCGAGACCCTCTTAAATAAAACTGTTTTCTTACAAATAAAAAAATAAATAAAAACACTTAATATCAAGGCAATTCTTTTTTTTTTTTTTTAACAAAATTAATAGTTTACCTGTAATGCTTTTAATGCTTCTTTCAGCCCATCAATTTCTTTTTCTTTTGTTTCTACAGCAAGTTGATATTTTCCCTTTCAACAAGAACTGTACTTCAGGATTTGGGCAGAAAGAACGCATTTACAACAAGAATTTATCAACAAGAACATTACCAAAATAAAACACTACTCTGGTGTGACAGAACAAGTCATTGGTGAAAATGTGAAAATTCAGCTAAATAATTTTAAGACGTACATATATAATGCTATGAAAAGTGAAAACACAATAGTATATTTTCAGCACTTGTGACTAGTCAGTAAGTTTAAAATTTTTCTGTTCTGTGAGAAACAACCCTAACAAAAGCAGAATTAGTAAGTTCCTTTAGTTTAGAATGAAGTTAGTAAATAAATAAAGTATGAGGTAAATCTATATTCTTATCCACTGTAGGAAAGTCTTCAAAGAAACAACTGCCTCAGCTTTTCACATCCACAAAGATTGAACTGTGTATCTTCCTTCAGTTTAGTTTAAATTCCTTAGGAAATCACTTCAGGTAAATTAATAAAAGCCTTACTAAAACCTGGTTTCACTGAACCAGTCAGAATTACTATTTTTCACTAGTACATGAAAAAAGCTTATGACAATTTGCCCCCACAATAAAATAAATTTTGTATAGCTTCAATATAGCTGATAAAAACAATTTTTCCCCAACTGATTTTTAGCATAAACAGACGTTAAAGTGACATTTCACAAGTAAATGAGTTTTTATAGGCTATAAACAAAAACCCCAAAGTAACAAATGCTATAAAGAAGTTTCTTTTGCAAAGGCCAGAGCAAGAGAAATTTAATTGTAACATACTTAGTTGATACTTAGAACATGCTTGGCGAGTTCTATGGCATTATCATCTGCTTATGTGCTTCACTGGATAATAAATAACACATAAATGTAACAGAGTACCTTTTCTTCTTCCATGGCAAACATCTTCTCCTGTAACTGGATTGTCAGTGGCATAAAAGAACCCCAAGAAACAACAAATCAGTACAGCACATCAGATTACTTTTATTCATGCAACTTGACAAGACAATATAACTATCTTACCCTGCATAGTGTACTTCCTGAGTTTTTTTTTTTTTTCCTTTAACTATACTAACTATAAAGTCACAAGCAGGAAGCTTGTGAGTCACAAATTATTTTCTCAGGAAAGCAAAATGGAACTGCTTGCTAATTTCTTCTTTGTGCAATATGACCCTGACGCAGCATTGGTGGTAAATTCTTCACCACCACAGCAACACTTTCAGTTCCTGTGACTGTTCTCTACAAGTTTTTTTTCAGCACTCATATTTGTTGATTACATATTATGGAGAAAAAAAAACAGGACCCCGATCTGAAAGACTGAAACAATCCCAAACATTGCATGGAGTAAGTTGTGTGGCACAACTTTTACCATGGTTTATAAATCTAACCTTGCAGAGGACGTGCCATCTTAGGAAGGGGGGGGAGGGAACGAACACCCAAAAAGAGGAGCATTATCTTCTCTAGGAATTTTCTGAAAAATTAAAAGGAAAATCCCAGGAAGAGTAGCTTACTGGGAAGAACTTGTCAAAATACAGGCGTTGTACTGTGTCTTGATAGAAGAAAAAAAGGCACGATTTTTTTTTTGAGGTGTATATTCTAAAATTTTACATGCAACAGAAAAATATGTTAATACCCAACTGATAACTTGCTATTATGTCATCATACTTTAAGATCTCATTGTCAAAGCTAGAAGGACTTATTTTGCTACCTGTTTTTTGAAAGCTGCCATAGCTTCTTTGTTTTGCTGGTGCAGTGTGTCTGTCTGACGCTGAAGAGTTTCCTGCCCATACAAAAAAACAATACTGTCTGTTCAAATGTTATTTTACAGCAAACCATACACAACAGTATTTCAAGAAAAAAAATGATTCCTTGTCAAATATTTTCAGAAAGACACGACTGATTAAAAATACCAAAACCTGAAGACTAAAGAGAGAGACTTGTTAACTGGTAATCACCTTTTTGGTAGTGGCTTCTCTTTAACTGATAACAGGTAATGGCTCCCACTGCTAGAATTCATATTTGTTGTTGCAAAGACTCCTATAAGCAACTCTTACCCACCCTATCCACCTCCAGAATCAGCCCAATACCCACTGACATCTTAATATAGCACCTTCACACATTTCCAGGTAGTTGGAATTTTAATTTTCATCTCCACTAAAAAACAGGATCCTATTTAAAAATAGCAATCTGTTATTCTGGTTTTAGTTACATTTTAGTCATTTAACAAACTACATGGAAGAGCTGAAAGAAGGGCAGAGAAGACTAAGCGTAAGGTGAGAGTGTAAGATTTTTATCATCCTACTGCCTGGCTTTACTCTCATCCATAAAGCTGAGAAAATGAGTTGAAGATGTACTATTATTTTTATTGTTGTTATTATTCCATATCATAATCTCATAGACCAGTGTCACATTCTGCAAGTTGAATATCTCTAACATCTTTAAGCACCATGTTCCTATGGATTGGGAAAACCTCCCCATAACCAAGGTGAAGCAATATGGAAGATAATTTTTAAGTTCTAGGTACTAAAAAACACTAGGTAAAGGTATTCAAAACACACTGTCCTTGAATAGCTATCTCAAAATACAGATGAGTGGTTAGCTAAGAAATATTAGTGTGAAGTAGGAAATGACTAAGTAATGACTGCACAAAAATACATATAAATTGAGACTATTAAAAAGAATGACTGGGAGAAGATAAATAGATAATTTGTTTCACATGAGAACTCTAAATTTCTTCTCTTGCCTTAATGGAGAAATTGAGTTTTTCAAACACAAAGCCCATTGCAAAATTACTTTCTCCAGCAAATTGGTGTTGCTTTCAAGCTCCACAAGTAAGAACTGTTGCCCTTCGACAGAGGCCAAGAATCTGTGGCAGCAAGGTGTTTATCTTCACATACATAGTACTTCATTGTGAGAAAGAGAAAGTTTCAATTTGTATCTAACAAACAATACATGCTACATGAAAAAATATGCAAAAATATAAAAACAAAGTCTTGAGGAATGCTATCCTCACATTGTCACTTAGAACTATGATCAAAGCCAGGTTTTTTAGTGGGTAAAGGGCATGCAAAATACGTCCGAGAGCCAGAAACAGTACTGCAGAGACAGCAAATCAACCACTCTCAGCACAGTATTCCTACTCACCACAGCTATAAAATTTTACATCCACAGTACTGTCAAATTAAGATGCTTCTTTAGATTATAGGATTTGAGTATTATAGAATAAACTATGTAGATACAAGTTAGGTTTCTCAAAACGGTCATTCTTTACATAATTTTGTCATTGATGTAATTGATCAACTGAAAAAAAAACATTACTGAGGTCTTCATAATAAGCCTTCCTTGTACAGTATATTCAGATGATGTATTTTACTCTAAAAAAGAGACCATGAAGTTTCTACAAAAACTCATTGCCTAATAGACCTCACAGCCAAGACTATTAAATAAAATCATTACATGTAACTTCCTCAGAAATTCAGTTTTGGAATAAAATACACTGTGTAAGTGTGGTGCAGGGAGAGAGAACAGTTGTTTTTAAATACAAGTAAAATCAAGTTTGATACTGGAATGTTATACTAAGTATCATGAATATACTCACGGGATTTAAAGGGATATTTTCTCCAGTTAGTCTGGAGAGTATTTTTCCTACTCCAGCAATTTTTTCTTCAAGAGCAGCAATAGTACTGATATACGTTAGACAAATATTTGCTTTTAAATTGTAATACTAAACCAGAAATTTAGCTTAAGCCATGTCTTCATTTTGAACTAGTTTGCTAAGTTTAAGGTAAAATAAAATATATACTGAATCACAGAAGTGTTGACTGAAAGGTATATCCCTGAAAGAAAAAAACAATAGAACCTTTGATAAGCTAGGGGAACCTGTCTACACTGAACTCCTATGGAGGTCAACATGAATCTGCATTCAGAAATCATCAGGTCACAAACTCAATTTCAATGTCATACTCATCAATTTTGTCTTACTGGAATATCCAGAGCTGGGAACTCATATTAGCGTCTTCCTTTGAAGTTCCAGAGCTCTATATATGTGATCAACTGAAGTTCCTCAAGTCTACAACTCATTGTTTATATCAGGTTTGCCATATGGCAACATTAAATGCAAAGTGCAGGAAAAAAAAAGAGTTCACCTAACCGCCTCTAAGTCCCATCTTTTTATTAATGGTACATTAAATTGCTGTTAAGGTCTCAGAATGAATAGAAATCATCTCTTTTGAACCCAGATAATAAAGAACTGTAATGCTAGGTAAAAAAAAGCAAAGAAGGGTTATAAACTGAAAGCACTGTTGCTTTTACAAAAATAAAATGTTTCCTGTTTCTGTGTGCACATATATATCTCTCAGAAAAAAAAGCACATAGTCAGGATTATTAATTTAAGATGGTTAGGATGAACTCCAAGATGAAATAGTCTTCCTTTACTACTATGATGTTAAATATCCCAAGATCAAGGATAGAGCTGAAATTATTGGTTTTTCTGTGATCGTAAAATATACAGAGTGAAGCCTTTTATCTTGTGACCTAGTGACAGGGGTCATAGGTTTGATTGTATTAGAGAAGGGAACGGATTTCCTATGAAAGCATAACCTCAGGAGCCCTAACCTTAAGAAGAATGTTGGACTTACTTTATTGAAAACTTCATTCTGAGTGTTTAAAAGCTGACAAACCACTATGGAGTATGTCTAACACAGAAGTTTCTGTTCAAAGTAATTTTTTTTTTTTTTTTTTTAAACACTGTCACCCCCAAAACATTGCAAGTGAGGATGTTTGTACAACTGCACTGGTACTTGCACTTGCCAAAGCCAAGCATACAGAGGAGCTGCTGCATAGCTTCGCCCACACTGGCATGCCAACAATGCCTCACGCTAAGCTAAGTGTCATACTGCTGCGATCCTCGCAGCCCTTTTGGCTGAAGGTTTCCAGTCCTGCCAAACACTATGATGGTACTGTTTTGTTAATCAGATTTCTAGGGTGCAATCCAAATCAATATAAAAGTACAGAAGTTCATGGCTAGACAACAAATTATTGGCTACCACACTGTACTACTAGAAATTACAATAGCCTTAAAAAGGGAATTGTACCAAATCAGAATACATATTAATATTAAAATTAAATCCCAGCAGTTAAATCATGTAAGAAAATTACCTTCTGCCATTCAAGTTCCTGCTTCTCTACAACAATTTTGTTGATTTGATCTTCATAAATATTTTCTGTTTCCTAGTTAAACAAACAAAAAAGTTCAAATAAGACAGTACCTGCAAATCAAACACCAACATAAGCTGCATATTCATACTCTTCTTTCTAGAAGAGTATGTGCCTACACACCACACCAAAAAAAAAAGAAAGAAAAAGAAACAAAAGCTCTCTGTATGTGATAAAATTGCAGATGAGTTCAGCTGTTTTAGTCAGAAAATCTGCAGAATAAATAACTTAGACTGACACACATAGTAGAAGATGAGGAGCTAGGATTATGGCTCTCTTAATTAGCAGAAATAGTTCCCTCTTCTTGCTTATTCTCTTCTGCATCTCATCAACTAAATCAGACTCAATGGGAATAAACCAGACTTGACTTCACATTTGAAAAAGGTTCCAATGTTCTGATTAACTGAGACAAAATAGTGAAGAGAAATTCAGCAAGCTGCAATGCATGATTCAAGAAGCAACTGTCAGCCAATAATACAAATACAGTTAATGAGTTGGAATTTTTGAGACATCTTAATTATTCAACACAAACCATTTGAATCTTTATTCTTTTTGACATTTCCCAGGACAACTGAAAAGTTTGTTCCCACAATTATTTCTGTTACTATGGAAAAAGTGAAATATTTATCACAACATTCTCTGCCAAGAAGCCTCCTCACCTACTACATGAAAGTAAGAAGTTAAACAGAAGCCATGGATAATCAATACATATTTTTGATAATATAAGCTACCAAAAATCTGAAAATAATATTACTGAAGTCTAAAGTTTCCTTCACAATCCAGAAGAGGCACTGATAATGGGAAGATGTGTTATATCTCCTGTGCTTCCTGAAGCACCAGAAGTCAAGAATCAAATTATTACTGTGATAATAAATGAAACTTATTTGCTGATAACCATATTGCTAAGAAATTAAAGGAACTTTCCTTAAACATTATGGTATTAAAGTCAAATTTCCCTAACAAAATCAAGTTCTTGACTGGAATCACCTTCCCTTTTAAGCCAAATTTTTCATAAGCACTGGCCTTCATTTGCAAATACAATATTTACAGGAAGAACAACAGGTTCCCTTATCAAACAGTCTTGACATATTGCAAGAACAGTATTTAGGCTTTTGATGCATACCATAAGGAATTCACATCTGTTCCATTACTGCATGCAGTCAAAATAATGACTATCCCTTAAAGACCTAGATAGGTACACCAATGGGCTGCTTGCTCTGAGCTTCCAGCGGCTTATTTCCTGCCTCTTCTCTGCCCACTGATGATCAGCTTGAAAAAGTGACCACACTACAGGAACAGTGACTTCTCTTTGATGAACTGCTGCACTAGTAACATTTACTGAGGTTGTGTTGGACACGCTCTAGCAAGGACCGACCTGTGAGGGTGGAAGAGTACTCCCAATACTTGAACTACGCTTTCCGAGTTACTTGATTTTAAAACATTATGTGTACCTTTACACGTTGAGTCCAACTTCCTCACTTCAGTTTAGAACCTGCATTCCAAACTGATGAAAAAATAAGCACTCTTGAAATGATTCACACCTCAACAGCCCAGACTACTGCAAAAGAAGTGGCTGTAATTCTCAGGGAAAACAGTGACAACTCAAAAAAAAGCCATTTGTAAAAATGACTAGTAAAAAATTAAAAGCAGGCCTCAAAAAGATTACTGGGGACACATACACACCCAGAAAGCCCCAAACTAAACACCTCTGAATGAAGTGGTAAGTTTTCTGAAACAGTGAAAGAGCAAACTAAGGTTCCTCTGCCTTCCACAGTGAAGCAGGTAAGCCAGATGTTTTGGCTACAGAGAATAAAGTATGCTGCAACTTTAAGAAATGCAATTCTTTCCTACAGCCAGTACAAATAAGGGTTCCAAGTTTTCATTACAAAGGTATTTACAATGTTTCAACAATTTGTGCAAAACATCACAGATTTTTGCAACCCTTTCTCGCTTAGTATAAGGGTTGATCCATAGTCCCACTGTACTACCCATAAAAATGAAGTGACAAAACATGTCCAAAGGTGATTTAAAATACTTTTTTAACGTTGACATCTTTTATAGGACTTAGGGCCAAAACTGGCTTCCTTGATTAACAGACAGTTTACAGGCACATGTGGGGATAGGAACAAGACACACTTCTATCCACAGAAGACTATTCTGATGCATTTCAAGAGTTATTTGTGGAATCTAAAAATGTCTCTTGAGAATTTTACATATAAAATACCAAACACACATTTAAAATTCAGCTGACAGAACTACAGAGAAGTTCTTTAGCTTTTGCTTCTCTGATACATAGCAGTAGAATATAGATGGAGAAGAGACCTAAAGATTTTATATACCTTATGGTCAAACAAAACAAACTCCCCCGAAAAAATCCCAAAATTAAGATAACTGAAAAGATTATCAAGGCCTCCCAGTTCTGCCTTAACAAATAGTACACTTCAGAGCTGCAATGAATTTGTTTCCTGATACTAATCTATAAGTACTGAAGGAAAACACATCCCTCAAAGTTCCATAGAGTGGCAAAAACAAATGACCTTGACTTACAGCTTACAGAAGTGTAACCTTCAGCAATGTATGTCATTAAGCAACAAATGCTACTAAAATGATACTAGCAAAAGCCTTGTTCAAAATTGTAAGATTATAAAATCCTATCCTTAAACATGCCATGTAAACTATTCTTAAGCTAATTCAGAATGCACTGCTGTAATATTCTTCTATAGCTCCAGAGGACATATTTCTGCCACTCCCCTGTGCAGGCACTAGCACAGGCATTTCAAAGACAAAATAGAGAATTTTGATCCAGTGCACAACTAAACAGGGAGAAGGAGGTGGCTGGTTATCCCATGGATGAGATCTAGCCTTGGGGAACCCAAAAACCGGTACCAGTGCAACAGAAACAACAGGAGATGTTGCTTAGAACAACTGATGGACAGTCAAACTGCCCCCAGAACACTTGAGGTACCTGCACGACTGAGTCCTAATATGCTTTTTCATAACATGCTAGCTAGTTTTACAAGTATTTATTTTGAAAACATGCAAACTAGTCACGTAGATGACTGCATTTCTCCAGCTCCTATGCATCTAACTGTCCTTCCCTTTTTGTAAATTCATCCCACTTAGTGCATGTGTTGCACTAGTTTACACAAGTTTAGAGCATTTACAAAACATACACAGAATTGCAACTACCATCAGGAAAGAAACATAGCTATGAAGGTAAAGTGGTAACAGAGATAAAAAAAAGCTTAAGACATGCACTGTGATTCTGACTTCACTAAAATTTATGGCACATACATCACTAATTTCAATGGTGGCTGGAGATCAACAAGTATTGATCCATATTAAATTTACCATGAAACAAAGGGAAAAGAATGTAGTATTTGAAATGGGAACAACATAGCAGATATTAGCATCACAAACTCTTGACAAAGGAAACTTCAATTTAAACAGACTGGGCTTACCAAAACACAACACTTACCTAAAAGAAAAAGCTTTTGGTTTATATATATATATAAAAATAGAAGTACTTTTAGTACAACACAATAAAAAGATTTTAGCAACAATAGAGCTGAGAGACTACTTGTAATCAAGCATATATACCATTTCCATTTTAAAAACGTGTATTTTCAATCCTAATGAGAACACCAAAAATACTCAAAAATACATTTTTGTGCAGATACTTGGTTTAAAACTTTACAATTGTTCTAAGAAGCAGCATGTTAAAATTTAGGACACTTATAATCAACTCCCACATCCATACCAAGCACTTTACATTTAACTCAATAAATACAATAATACAAGTTTGAAAACTGCATTAAGTTTCATTACAAGTGAACCCTTTACTTTGAATGCTAAAAAGGATAAGAACCAAAGTTCTAAGTGATCAACACTCCTCCAACTTACTCCCAAATTATAAAGGAAAATCTGGAAGCTATCAAAAATGTGTATATGTGTAAATACTGTTGAAAAAAATAAACGTCATAAATACTTAAACTGAGAATGACAATTACATGATAAAAATGTTCTCAAGTGAAATTGCCAACAATTGTAAGTCTTATCCATCATTTTTACTTCTTTCAAAGGACATTTATAGTCTACCCATTTTGAATTGAAAGCTTTTAAAACTTGTATGAAGCACTTCTTTTTTTTAGAAGTTCCAGCAGCTGTTTAATAAGACAAAAACATTTTTGTTATACTTAGGAGAATAATATTGTATATAACTTTGATGAGGTATCAACAAACCACAAAAGCTTAAAAGTGTTCATTTTTTATTAGATGCCTTAGGACTACATGGATTTAAGTGTTTTTATAAAAAAAGCCTACCATAACAATAAAAGAGGAGTAATTTGATGGTTTATTTACTCGTTATAACCTTTAGAAAGTGTCAAGCCTTCTTTAAAGTGTTTGCTTCAGGCTGTAGTTTTACAAGATGGGCTGTGGATTGGTCAAGCCCCCTCGATTCTTGACCCTGAACAGATTTAGGAACAGAGTACAGCTGGCTCATGTCCAAGCAGCCAAACTGCTGCTAGGTACTTTTATTATCTTTTTTGAACTCATAAGCTAACTCCTACAAAATTGCACATCCAATTTCTCATGCAGGTCAATCAAATAGTACTCACAGAAACTACAGTTTCTGACTGTTTCATGCTACAGTTAGAACACCCTTCATGAACTAAACACTCCAGTACAACTTTTAGTAGACCACATGGATATCCATCCTTCTTAAGTTTTGTTCCATAGAGAAATGTTAAAGGAAAAGATGTATAACAGCTTTATTCCAACTTCAGCTCCTGATACAGGATTTTTAGATACTGATAGTTAACCAGAACATTCAGCAATCACATATTCAGAATTTATTTCAAGAAGCATTTCCTTTTCAGAAGCAGAGAAACAAAAATGTATACCAACCACTTCTTTTCCTTTGGAAATCTTTCACTACTCTGTCCTTGATTCCATTACACAGGCTGCAATGGCTCTATATTTATTTAAATCTTATCTATCTAGATAGATTCCTTTAAAAGCTTGAACTGATGCTTATAATGTTCTTCCTTCCAGTTCCTAATCAAAAGCCACATCATTTGCTAACACAAGTTATAAGCTAACACACTGCTATATAGAAGCAGTGCCTGACTTCTACTATTACTCGTCAGCTATTACTGAACTGAATAACAATGTTGTATAGGTCACAGTCATAGGATCATAAATGTCAGTACTGCTTATTCTTTTATATCCACTTTTTAAAATTATTATTTTCTTTAGCATTCAGCTTTCCTTGTTCCTGTCATTTTGCTAAGTACCACCCTAATTTACACTTGGGAAAAAATCCAGTTTTAAGACTGTTAGGATGTTTTTGTTGTTTCCCTGCAGCCTGTGTTAGTAGTGTCCTGCTTGCCAACTTGTAGTAGCAAACAAAAGCCACTAAAAATTTCTGTTCTGTGTTATTTTAGCATTGTTTCTCTCCCTCCCCTTAATTTCCTCTTTCTACTCCACCCTGTAAGAAAAATCAAATTAAACTCTTCACCATTCTTGTCAGCCATTATAATTGTTCCTTGCAGTAAATCTCACCAAAATATTTCATTTCCCTATCACCCTTTTTTATTTCTAGAAAATGTTTCTGCCTTACTTTCTAGAACAGTAATTGCCCTTCTCATTAATAGAAACTTCAAAATACAGTATTAAAACATTAATGATTCTGTATTTGCCCATGCAACAGCCTGAAGATAACTTAAAACCAAGCTCCTTTTATTTTTAAAAACATTAAGATCTTCATTTATGCAGCACTTTCATTCAATCTCATGTTCCTGGTCATTGTAGACCGTTTCCAAGGAGCTGCCTCTATAGATACAGCAGGTGCCTCTGGTGCCCTTTTTCACTTCCCTGATACTCCACACATCTGAAGGTGGTTCAAATCTGGTTGTTTTCAGGTATGGAAAGAGGTCACTGAAACTTATCATTTGCACCAAAAAAAAAAACATTAGTAAAATGTTAAAAATAACCACTAATATTTCTCTTCTGTCTTCAGCTAATCCACACCTACACTGCTTCAGCTGCTACTAAAACTGTCCATAGCCCCTTGGTATTAAAACACATTTCTGTGGAAGTAAGGAATAATTTCTTATGCTTACATGTTTTTAAGGATAGGGATGTGTTTTGTATCTAGGACAGGAAAGAAAATTTAATACACTATATACGCCTTCTTGTCCTTGTAAACATCATCCTTAGACCTCATGTCAATTGCTCTACATGCACTGTACTTCAGAAAGCATTGGAGACTTCCAATTTGACCTACTATGCTGCAACTTTATACTGTCAAAATCTGTTCTATTTATCCATTAAGAAAAGCATCTTATTAGTCAACAAAATTAACTCAGCTGATTGCAGAGCAAGGCTGACAGACTTTGGGGCAAAGTGAACACGACACCCACCACAAAAGAATCACTGGGCTGGTCGAGACATTCAAACTACTGGAGTGAAGTAATCTGAGGAAGGGGGAAGAGATTTTTGTGTAGTTTTTAATTACATACATATTCATATTAAGTCAATCCATACTAAGAACAAAGACTATGAACAGTCAAAGGAATAAAGTATCAAGTATGCTAATTTAGTCAATGCATTCTCCAGAATAAACAGTATCGGCTACCATTAATTGGCACTTTGCCTGTAAAATGTCACTCATGAGCAACTCCTCGAAGTTGTTTTTAGTTTGAGAGCTTGACTACAGCAATATTTTTAACCAGGAAAAGCCCAAAACAGAGAGATACTTTGGAGTAACTCAATGCATTCATTTACCTAAGCATATCCAGAAAAATGAAATTTCTACTTTAAAATAGTATCTTATGGTATCATGTATGGAGTGTATCAAGACTCAGTATTTTAGGATTTAATTGTTTTAGCAGTTCAATTTATCTGTCCAGCTTTGGACAGATTATTTAATCTGCAAGTTTATTTTTTAAATTGGAATTTATATTGCAGTACAACAAACTATTCCAGGCAGTTTACTAAACTCAAAATACATGATAGCTCCCATCCTGAAGAGACTCCTGTCTAAGTGACAAGCAAGACCAACAATGGGAAAAAAACCAGAAGCAAACAGAGGTAAAATATCTCATCTAAGGTCAAGCCACAGGTTAAAGACACAACTGGGAGTAAAATCCACTATACTGGCTTGACTGCCTCCATCAGGATCTCAGTCTGCTGTGAACCTCACAAGCAACTTGCAAAGGAAGTGGGAAAAATTAGTAAGAAACCAGCAAAACTTCAGCTTTTACTTCTTTCTTATGCAGCAGATGACACAGTTTAAGTTTATGTGTTTTGCTCTTGGCCATGGAAAAGTAACGATGGTGCAAGACAACCTCTCGTTCTCTGAGTCAGTGCTGTGTTTTGGTCTCTGCACTATCTTTTTCTTAGGGATATAACACTTTTTCTCTCAAATTACAAATTTACAGAACAACCTCATGTTGGTTGAATTTGTAAGAGGATTTTGTAGTTTCTTTTTATTTTTTAGGAAACTACATTCTTCAAATAGTTCTATATTAAAAAACAAACAAACAAACAAATGGCACTAGGCATGACCATATGATTCTATAACCTTTGCCTTGCTTGTTCAAAATACTCAAGTTTTATGCTCCAAATTTCAGACATACCAAGCAAACAGCCCTGAATTAATTGTTGGGGAAAAAAAAAAAACAAACCACTCAACTAAATGGCATTCAGGGATACTTTAGGATTTCAAACTGACAGCTGTAAAATACTTCTTTTAAAATTTAAACTTCTATACTACAAACAGTTAAATATATATACATTTTTTTAGAGGAGTGAAGGAAAACACATTAGTTTTAGAAATTTAGGGTCATGTCTCACCTATGGAATTGGCTCTTGGCATTAGCATTGATTTTTAAACTAAAAATACCTTTAAGACAAAAAATTGGCCAAAAATTTGCTCACCCTGCTGCAATCTCATTTGCATACTCTTGTAGTATAGGAGACAAAACAGACAAGCAAACCCAAGAAATCCCAAGAGATGAAACTCCACAGCATTCTACACCAGGCTCTCATCAAGTGCACTAGAAGTGCAAAGTTAACAACAAAAATGGAATTCAGTTAACATCTTACAATGAAAAATACACTTATCATAAAAGTTAAATTCTTCAGTCTCTTTTCAATACAGAAACAGACTAAACACTACCATTGTAACAAAAAATCTAGGGATTGTTCCATGGTGAATGTCAACAACACTGCACCAAGAAAGTAGAATAATGCAACTTTTTTACTTGGATTTTTTTATGACAGTCATTCTTTTGTTTATGGTTTTTAAAGAGAGGATTATAGCATTTAACTTAGATCAAAATAAGCATAAATCAAGCATGTCACCAATATTAATATTTTAAAAGTAATAATACACATCTTTTGAACAGGTCAAATTCATCAAATACAGAAAGATAAATTTTAGGTCTTTCAAAAATACGACAATTCAGAAACACTAAAGGGAGAAACAGAAACAAATGTTTATAAATGCAACTGAATATGAAATAAATATGAAAAGCCACAGAAAAATATAACTGAAAAATTAACCACAGAAAAATATAGCTGCTTTCAACAGCACAGAGACAATTTTATCTTAGTACTACAAGATGATTCAACTCATATTTCAAAACCAAAACACCCCCACCCCCTACTCAATAAGCTATTATGTAGGGCTCCCGCTTAATAGTTTAGCAATTTAAAAAAAGGTGAAATAAAGTGGATTTGGTTATCACAGCAGCTCTTTGCCCTCTGAAAAGCACAAGTAGACAGACAAAAATAAGTCAAAATCACTGCTTCTCTGACAAATGGTAAATCAATCTATAAAATGAGAAAGACTTATGGACTTGGCAATGACTCAGATTCTCTTTCTTTCCTTTTCATCTCAAAGGCTGCTTTTAAAAAGAACTAAAATGAAATACAAACATTTCATGTAGATAATTTTTGTCAATAGCCTGGTGATCAACTGTAGCAACTCTGTCCATTATTTCATCACAGTCAAATTCATCTCCATGCAATCCTGTTGTCTTTGTGCTGTCTACAGAGAAATTTCTAATACAGACACTGCCTAAACCCATGATATTTTTAAGCAAAACCCTGGTTGTTGAATTAGGTAAAACAGAACATGAAGTTTAGCCACACTTACACAGCATTTCCTATGATTGCATCCAGAGGCAAAAACACTAAAAGAGACAAAGAAACACTATAAAACAAAATAAAAACATTTACCCTTCTTATACGCAGTTCTTCTATTGCCTCCAATAAACTTGTTTTAAAGTCTAGCAGCCGAATGGAAAGTAATGTTCCTGATGGACTTTGAAGAGCAGAGTCAAGCACCTGTGTTTTAAAGTCTTCATCCATTCTTTGAATTTGGTTCTGCAAAATAAAAATCTGTATTTCCTCTCCAGTTTATCATTAAGATATTATTCAAACTGAAATACTTACAAATATGGAAGCAAATTAGTTTTGCAAAGAGTAAAACTACTAGTTATAGCCATGATGCAATTAACAATATTTGCATTTCAAGCTAGCATGCAATACTGTGAAAGAAAACAAACAGCTTTATCATAAATTCACCACATTCATTTGGTCTCCCTCTTTATTTTTGGATTGTTTTTAAACAAATGCTAAAATGAGCATTAAGAAGGAAGCAACAGGTTTTTGTTCCAGAGCTACTGCCCTGTGCTGGCATGAAGATACTGCAACTAAACCATCAGGCCATGAAAAAGTAACTACCTACCTTCAAGAACTCTAAAATCACAAGACAGGCTCAATTTTAAAAGGAGACCTTCAGACAAGCCTGAGATTATGAACTAAAGGTAATATTCTGTGTTTCCGCTTCTGAATTTTAACAAGAAAACTTTTTGGTTCTCTCCCCACAAGACTGAGTAACAAAATGTTGTACTCTAAGCTAGCTCCATTATGTGCTGTCAAGCCAAGACCTACGCTAACATGAGACCCGTGTGTCTCTGTCAGGGCAAAACAAGTCTGTTAGGAGTATCAGAGAGGATTACAACACTCTGCATTAGAGTTACAAGAAGATAACAACTATACATATTGCAACTGCACTCCTCAGATTATTTTTTAAAAAAATATTAAAAAAATTAAAAAATATATAATATTAAACGTAATATTTGAGACTGAATTTCCACTAGCCCACTAGAATACATAATGCTATTCCCTTCCAGAAAACCCCACGTGTGTTTGTGGACTAAGAATCACAGAGGCAGAGGTGGGGCACAGGAGTTACGACTGACCTGGCCACTGCCACAGAGTCCTGTGGAAGGAATTCCTGCAGGAAGAACAGAGACCTGGTCTGTATCATGGGGCCATAACAACTACAAATCAGGGCTCACCACTTTTTCTGCTGTTGTCTAAATAAAACCCTAACATAGATCAAATTTAAGCTGCTTGGTCATGCATAATAGATTGATCTCTGCTTAGCTGCCCCACCACAGAAGTTTTTCTAAGTTACTGAAATAACGGTTTTGTTAAAACCAGAAAAATCACATGACTAACACTAAACTGTTGAATATTAAATATTTACATAAGTTTTGTCAGTGTCAAAATGCATAATGTTTGAAGGACTTCTGAAGAGGTGGCAAACACAAGTCTGAATCAGAACCATGTACAAACGCGTACCACTTCAGGCAACAAAGCTGTTGTGTAAATGTGCCAAGAGGAATCAGGCACCATGCAGCCAATCTGCATACATTTCAGATACAGTTTAAACCTAAGTTGTTGGGATTTTTAGGTAAAGCATTAGGATAAAAAAACAAACCAAACCAAAACAAAACCAAAAAACACAACTGTTTTGGGATCAGCTAAATATTTTAGTATTGATGAAGTCAATGGTTCTGATGTGTTTTTTCATGTGCCTTTCTCCAAAGGCACATTAAAAAAAAAAAAAAATTCTGTTTCTTTCAATTCAAGTTTTAAAAACTGTTTCCTTATAGATTAGTACCACTACTCCATGAAGCACTACTACAAATCAAACTTTTGATATCATATCAACTATTAGGAGATATCATAGCTACAAAACTAATAAAAATGCTAATATTATGCACAACAGATTAGGCACAGAGCCACTTGATTTCACTTTTAACCACGCTATATTCACAAGGGTAAGATTTTGCAAATATAATGTTAAGACATGATGCATGCTTTAATTCTATTGCTGTCAACTGACATTACCAGTTTGGAGTTGGCGGATTTTACAGTGATGACTTTCTTCCAGACAGCACTGCTAACAAATGGAGAATCCTGGTAGCCAGTGTTAATAAGGAAAAAAAAGAGAGTGCTTGTGAAAAACATGACACAGAAGAAGGATGGTCTAACTCTGGGATTCATCCTACAAAGGCAGGTGCACCTCAAAAAATGTGCTTCAGTTATGAAATAATTTCTATTCATGTCAACCAGCAGAAGAATATGTGTATTAACTGATACACAGTGGGGCTTGTGATTTTCCTTCCCATCACAGAAGCCATCTGAAAATTATTTTCTCAGGGGGATATTTTCAAACCAATGCTATACTCCAGTGGATGGAAGGAAACGGGCCTCAGGCACCCATGGGCATTCTCTCAGCTCACTGATCCCAGCAGGAGCACTTGACAAACAAGACTTCACCTCCCTAATGCAGTGAGTAAGGATAAAGGCTTTTATGAGTGAAGCTCATTGAGCCTTCACCCCTCCCTTCATCGTGAAAGTACTATTTTCTCATGGGCAATTTGTACTCAGACTGCTTTTTCCAAAACTGCAACAAATGCTTCACAGCCTACTGCTGAAAACTGTGAGGTCCAGTGTGTTCTATGTGTTCCCTCTCATCCTCCTCTTGAGCGGCGTGAGAGACACTTCTCTGGTCCCTTCCACCGCGCAGAAATCAAAGAACTTTGTTATCTGCTAAACAGCTTATACTGTACTTGACTAGAAACAAAAATACAAAATAATATATAAAATATACAATAATAAAGTTACAAAATATTTTAAAATATCTATCATACTGATAAAATGCTTACTTTATCACACAATAAAACTGTCTAGAGCTACTGTATCATAACTAAATATCCTTTGAGAGAGAAAATTAAAAAAAGCCCATGTAATCCAAGATATTAACAAATAGATGTATTTTTACTTTAACAACTGATGTTTGTCAGAATACCTGTAAAAGAATAATTAACTAGAGCATACATGAGATGATATTCTAAAAGTTAAACTAAAAGTGATTGAAGTTATTTTGAAGCATTTACTACATTTGCTTTCTTATTACTTGTTTTACGTCTAATAAAATAAGGAGAAAAATTATTTTTCAAAAAGCAGATTAAAAAATCCATTTTAACACAATTTTGAGTGCCACAAAAGGGCTTTATATCTTGGAAAAGCACTTATTAAAAATTACATCTTAAATACCCTACACTAGAAAGTAACTTAGCCTATAAGCCTGATAGGGGTCAGGGTAATAACACAGAATGAACAAATTACACTGTCATTCCACTTAAATTATTTAAGTTATTTAATTTGACCTGTAGATAGTCTCTTGTCTTCTCATCATGCCTGACTTTTAAGTGGGAGGTCTTCATTCATGACGATCCTTTAATGGAAGCAAAGCTTTCTCCATTTAACCCATGGTGTTATCAATCATGTACAGGGATAAATGAGGCTGTAAGATTTTGCCAGTATCACAAATGACACTGTGACCCGAGGCCAACATCTTTATTTGCTTCTCCAGTGATTCACTTCAGCAGATATTAACCAATTTTATAATCCATGAAAGGCAAAATTAAAGGACACCATCCATAAAACAGAATAATTCCTATCAGCAACAAAGTGATGTCGGTATTATCTTATAAATTATATGGCCATACAGTGTGGTAATGTAATGAAGTAAAGATGGTAATAATCAAATGCCTAGGGCAAATGCTAATATGCATTTAATCACACAGCATGAAGCCATTTGTCACTACAGTTGGATGCATGCGTACATAAAATACATGAGTCACGTCCTTATTGTTATACTATAACAGCCTCAATTTCACACTATCATTTTACCACAATAACAACTGTACATTTTGATATTAACCAAAACATTCAAACGTCAGAAGTGCAACTGATAGCAGTATCTTTAAGAAGCCCTATCCTGAAATACTTTTCCCCCTACCATTCGACTTAAACTGTGTATGCAGAATTCTATCAGTTTTGCACAAAACCCCCTTCAGGTACATCTTTGCAACACCCTGAGAGACTTTTTAGAAACAAGGTGATTTATGGTATTTCAACATAGGCCAAATGAGTTTTTAAGAATGTATCAAGGTTGATAAATATTGATTTTCAATTGTGTGTTTATAGGCACTTACACACAAACATGAAAGACACAAAACATCTGCCCTAAAATAATCTCAAGTGTTTGCAAATGCTACCTCCAGAAAAATTACACTGAAGTGTAAGCAGCAAGTTCTGTGCTTGCTGAAAGGCAGGAATGAAAATATTTAGTGGAGAAACTTTACCTAGAAAGAACTAAAAGCAGATTTGACTTGAATCCATTCTTACCTTAAAAGAATAAAATGAGACAAAACTGTAAGTTTTACTATAAATTAATATTGCACATACGTTTAGTGATTCAAAACAAAGCAGTTGGCTGTACGAGAGGAGGATAAGAGCCCAGCCTCCACAGTTACACTGGGAAGAGCCCACCAGAAAGTACTAGCAAAAAGGCAGGTGTTGATAGTTTCCCAGATTCCAACCACCACATCTGTCTCTCACCTTGGTTGCATAAACCAGGTGGGATTCCTCCCTGATAAGATAACCTGCTGGCACACAGTACCATAAAATTTTGGCTATAAGACAAGCTGGTACATCACCTGCATAGAAACAACAGCAGACAGGAAATCTGGAACCAACTACGTCATGTAAGAACCACCGACTTGTTAAGAATCCATACATAAAGGTTTGTGTGGCTTAATGCTTATTTCATTGGATCAAGAGATTTACAGTATCTTGAAGTTCTTGGGCTTTCCTATTTTAGATTCAGAGTTTTTCTGCACAGAGGGTTAAACTACTACAGGATGAAAAATATTGTATGCAATTATCTTCAATCTTGCTTTAATTTTACAGTTTAGGGTTTTATAGAAAAAGAAGTTCTTTTTCATTTTCAGTAGAAGGTTGCAATACTGCTCCTCCATCCCACATCTTCCAGCAAGGATATACACCCTCCTTTCAGGAAAAACAGCCACCTCTGTGCATACCAGATACCACCTACACCCAACCGACACCGTGGATCTGCCCACCCACAATTCACCTGCACAGGTCCAGAAGGTGCAAGTCCCCTAAGCAAGCTGCTGGTGGGCTACCACCAGGCCAGGAGCTCC